TGTTAAAAAATTCAGGCGCAAATATTTGTTTCTGGGTCTGTTTGTTTGCTTGTTTGTAAAACTAATGAAATTTTTGCCATACTCGCCGGGCGGCAGCTGACCCCCAAGCGAAAAACATAAAACTTGACCGCAAAAAAATTAAAAAGAAGACAAAGAATTACCGCCACCTTGAAGCCGAGCCAAGAAAGGTAAAAAGGAGCTCGAAGTCAGAAGGCAGGGAGCAATAGACAAAGCAACTGAACGAAGTCAGAGCGCGCCAGCCAGATTATTATGTCAAGTCACGTTTATGAGCGTAATTTCGACAGGGCCCTTCCATCCCCACCCGTGCTGGCAGATGGAGCCGACCCCGCCCCCAACACCACCCACATCGCCACCCCAACCCCATCGCCCCCAGCTAGACGGAACATTGGCTCAACCCCGTTATCCTACGCGACATTGCAGCAGTTAAGACTTCGCCCGCCGGCAATCAATAAGCCGTTAAAAACTCACTAGGAAAGAAGAGCAACAATCCGATATACCTTCGCTGGGTGCTCCTCCATTTTTAGTGGTGAATATTTCTGAAAATAAAGGCTTATCTTTTTATTCAATTCAAATCAATACCAATTATAACCAGATTGGGTCAGGCTCGCAAAAGAAATCAGGGAAAAAACTAACACATCATTTTTTGAATGGCTTGTACAATACAACCATTGTCAGAATTTATTATGCATACTTAACAATAATGAAATTTAACACCTGATACCTCAATTATATATGTAGACTTTATCGGAGTCAATAAAGACATAACAGTAATGACACGACTGCATTATATAGATTCGGTAGGAAAGCCAGAAAAAAAATGGAAAAAACATAACTGCCTCGAATAAAGAATTAGGTTTAATTACAATCTGGTCATTTTATTATTAATTTGCCATAGTGACAATTAAAAGCATTATAATTATTTTTTTTAATTTTTAAACAATGAGTGTAATTTTATACGTAATTCACATTGTGTTTACTGGTACAAAATTACTTTTGCACAGTTTCCATTTCGAAAAACGCAAAGCTGCACCACTTAAAAAGTTCTTTATTTTTATTGTCCCTGTTTTTGGTTGTTGCTCTTTTTATACCCTTGCAGAATTATAATTTAGGCCAGCAGTTTGCAACGCAGTAAAGGAGACACATCAGACCCCATAAAGTACATATATTCTTGATCAGCATCACGATATGAATCGAAATACGTCTGTCCTCCTGTCTGTTTCTACGAAAACTAGTCTCTCAGTTTTAAAGCTATCTGGCTGAAACTTTCTCAAAAATTGTGCAGTTATTGCACGCAGTATATAAGTCGGAACGGGAGGGATCGAGCGACTATATCGGATAGCTCCCATACGAGAGATTGACTTAATTTCTTTCAGATGGTGTTTTAAAGCTACTGTCGAATTTCGAAATACATTTTATTAAAATCGGATTGCTCTCTCATTTTGCTGCGATAGGAAAGATCGAAAAAATATATGTATATAAATAAAGAAAAAAATTACATAATTTTTAGAACATCGAGTTTTTTACATACCCTTGAATAGAGAAAAAAATTTCATAAAAATATATAAAATAGCTACCATAGGAAAGATCGAAAAATCTAATGAAACAACGGAAATTAACGAAAAAAAATGATAAAATCGTTGGTTTTCATCATAAAAGCATAATTTTTGAGTTTTTTAATGACTCTAGAATTTCGAATCAAATTTCATACAAATCTGACGACTATATCAAATAGCTTACATATATCATATAGCTTTTATTAGCCTATATGTACTTGGTTCGACATATTTGATTACTGCAAGGGTATGTAAGCTTCTGCTTGCCGAAAATAGCTTTCTTTATTGTTTTTGCTTGGCGGTGCATCACGGAGCAGGTTCGCCTGTAAAAAGGCGACAGAGCCAATGCCAGGGTTTCTCGGCGGCTTTTCTTTCTGAGGGATGTCCTCCGATATGCACACCGGTCTATTCAACAGATGCACCACAGCCATGTCTAAGGCCTTAACAATAGAGGCCGAGCCTTTTATTGGCCATTCAAAGGAACGCCTGCACAAACATAAATTCCTATTTAACGAAGGCGATCCTCAGCACATGTCCACTCAACTTCCAGACATTCAAGAAATCGTCGAAAAGCAGGAAGGAATTAGTGTTCAATCTCGAATCAAAAACAACTCCAAGCGGTTGGTAGCACTGTTTTATGGATATAAACCAGGTTTCTATGTTTCCTATATGAGTGTCAATATGTACGCTATCATTTCATAAAATATGTTTTATCCACATGTTACTTTATCCACGACATGTAAACTGTAAGTGCAATCTTAAGAGCGCCCTTAAGATCTTTGTTTTCTTATGTATAACAAAAGAGACAACTTTGACAATTCTATTATTGCAAAAACATTGTTTGATTAAATGTAGAAAAACATAGATTTTGAGCTATGTGTTTTAGTGTCAGTATCAAGCTCACAAGGCAAGCCACGAGAATTACACAGAAACATCGACTCGTTAAAAAGTCAATAGATGGCAGAGCCGCTTGATTAAGAAATACATATTTGCCAAAAGATGTCGCACACTTTGGGACATTGTGGCGGCCCCTAGCGGAGTCAAAAAATATTGATTGCGCCGACTGTAGATGGCGCTTGAACTCCGCTCAGCCGTGCTACAAAACCTGAAAACGCAACTACCTTTTGTAAGGAACCTTTAATTGCTGTTCTGACTGTCATGGCATAGAGGTTTTGTCAGGAACCGCTGTTTGATTGTCGAGGCACTCTACTCTTGCGTTTCGTTTTTTTAATCTGATCCCATCACCATCTGAATCCATTTAGACGTGTACGTCTATTACGTAGTGGTTTTTTTGTTTTACTAAGATGATATGTTTGGATTGTGTTTTAAACGACATTTTAATGACGAAATAAATTTCATGAAAATCGGACAACTATGTATGTATGTACATGCAGCTGCCTTAGGAATCGGGCCCACTGTAACATTTTTGGAACAAAAATTATAAATCCCGTTGTTTTTAATCACCCAAACTTAAAAATAATATTTAACTATACACAGGGGATTCTATCATATAGCTATCATGGGAAAAATCAAATCAAAATCAAAAAAGGAAACAAAAATTGAGCATTTGGGTACGATAACACTGTGCGACAAAATTTAACGAAATGTTTGTTTAAGTTACTTTTTTGATTGTTTTCGGTTAAGATGCATAAATTATGCACAAAAATATCTATGCCACCTTCTAAGTGATAGGATTTCTTTCTTTATGATAAATTTTATGAAATTATTATTATGAAAATAATTAACACAAAATATTATTTTTTTTTTACTTCCAATAAACTATTATTTTTTTTAAAGTGAATTTTTTTCCAGATTTTTTGGCTTTTTCAGAGGTATCCTCGCGTAACAAGTTCCATACGAAGTCGCCCAGAGTATAGAGCTGGGAGAAAAAAATTTTAAAGCATTGTTATAAAAGCCTAACGGTATATTTGCTTTATAAATTTTAATTAATAGATATTGAACTTGCATAAAACGCTTATAACGGTGAAAAAATATTTTCCCAATATGTGATTATAAGGCTGTGAAATATGCAAAAACACGCGTTTTTGGGACATTTGAGTGTGCGTAGAAGCTGATTGGCTATTGATATTAACAAATCCCAAAACTTATATTCTTATTTTGACTAGTAGAAGTGAAAAATAAGAAAAAATCAACTTAAACATTTTTTTGCCGCACAGTGTAATAGATGTTAAAAGCAAGAAAGATAATATATAGCCTTGCAGTTAGAACTTTAATGTAGAAAACGACTACTCATAAAAAAGTTTTTTAATTTTGTTAGTTCGAACCTTACAAAATCAGCGATAAAACGTACTATAGTATATAGTTAATCTCTAGATTTGCGAGTTTTTCAATCATTGGCTGAGCTCTATGGGAGGTAAACAACATGTTAGTTCAATCTTTATAGAAACAAATATTTAATATCTTGTGATATTTCTATTAGTTTTTTTATAATTTCAGCGATTGTTCCTATGACAGCTAAATAATATAATGATGCTGATCAAGAATATATATACTTTGTGCTTCTGACTAAATTTATAATATCCTTTGCAGGGTATAATGAGAAAATCGAAGAACTACGGATACGAACATTAAAACTAGAAAGGAAGCTAGCTTCGGCAAGCCGAAGCTTATATACCCTTGCAGACATCAAAGAGTTTAACTAAACACATAAAGGCTAAACAGCATCGAAGCAATTCCGATTTTTCTATTAATTTTCCATATTTTCGACTATTGTTCATATGACAGCTATATGATATAGTAGTCCGATTTTAATGAAATTTAGTTAGTAATTTAAGAGTCGTTATAAAACTCTGTATTCCAAAAATTATCTGAATTATGTCTGATGAAAAACAACGATGTTACAATTTTATTTCCGTTATTTCTATATAGATTTTTCGATCTTTCCTATGGCTGTTATATGATAACGATGTCTGATCTTAATGAAATTTTTTTCTCGATTCAACGGTTATTAAAAAGTTCCATATTTTGAAAATCATGCTCGTTGGAATAAAAACAACTATGTTATGGAAGAAAAATTCCATTATTTATACTTCTGCCTAAAATTATAATACCCTTTGCTCTGCAAGGGTATACAAGTATATAGATTTAATAATATAGACTTTTAAAGTGATTACTTGAATAACACTATGCCAAAGCTAAATTTTCGTTTTTGTAAATTTATAGCCATTTTTAGTGGCATTACTCAATAGGACACTTTTGACCTCAAGGAATTATGAAGTATCTCCGGTATTGTTATAGACATATGTATATGTCAGTCTTATAATGCTTCGAAGTACATCACCATATATTTTAGGATAAAGTAATACCATACGGCCCGTGAATAACAAATACAATTTCACCAAAATTTGTAAAAGAAATTTAATGAAAAAACAATTTAGTTTTGGTACACTCGCTTGTTTTTTTTTTTGCTGGAACCATTTTCTCTTTTAACCTAGAACGCAGTTCCTGTTTTTGCGCAAACTAATTGTAAATGAAAGGTGGCCTAGGGAAAAGTGTTTCGTTATTTAATCAACATCATTTAATATATTTATGAGTAAGTGAATTGCACTCATCTAAAACCTTCCTTTGTTTTGCATTTGCACGCCTCCAAAACAGTTGTGGCACCTTGAACAGCGAAAAGAATACAAACTCGACGAGGCTGATGATCGAACATCCCAAACATAGCTGGCATATGCCCCCAAAGGAAACTGAAAGGGGAGGACAACGTTTATAGCACACTAGATACGTTTGAGTGGGCGAAGGAAGCCACCATACCGACCAAGTCCACCCAGGTGTAAATGAAATTGGTCTTGTAGACCAGCATGGAGGGTTTCTTGAAGTACACATTGAGCCACATGCTCTCGGCCACGCTCGAATTGGGCTGCAGCCAGGGCTGCTGGACGCTCTTTCGCGTGTCGGTCATCAGGGTCAGGGACTTGCAGTTGTGCAGGCACTCGCAGATTAGGCCGGACTCCGCCCTGTGCACGTACGGCTGCTCCCCGGGCTGCTCGAAGTTCTGCAGCAGGTGGTTGTGGGCCGCCAGGCAGGGCAGGTCCCTCAGCCGGCAGGCGGCGTACTCGGAGGGCGGGTAGAAGAGGTCCAGGGAGCAGTTGCAGTACCGGAACAGGTACCGCTGCTGGCACTCCGCCTGGCAGTTCTCCAGCATGTACTTCTGGCCCTCCAGGGTCTGGAAGTGCTCGCTGTCCTGCTCGTAGTCCATGACGCAGCGCCGACTCCGCGAGGGCAGGCTCAGAGTGCTCTCGTCGAAGTAGTGGTACACCGCCGTGACGGCCACGTTGGTGCGGGCGTGGGGCAGAACCTCGATGGGGAAACCGAACCACACCGAGGACTCCAACACTGTCAGCTGTAAGAGAGAGACGATGTAAAGTATTGCCTTGCAGCTAAAACTATCAAATGCTTCCCTGAATTCGCCTACTGTTTCTATGAAAGCCATCCGATAAGTGACATAATCCTTAACAAAATAATTGCGTAAGTAATGAACTCATACCTGCAGCAAGCAGCCCTATGTACATATACCTATTATTAAGCACTGCTTGATATGCAGTTAACGTTATTGTGTATCCCTTAAGTTAAGTCATCCTTTATGTCCCCCTTACTCCTTTAAGAAACACCATGTAAACCCATCTCTAAGTATGTACGTCTCTCTCTTGCACATACGAGATTGTGAAATAGGCTAAGCATTAACAGGCATGATGAAATAAAGATCACTTTTGCTGCGACCACTGAAGAGAAAACACCCTGATTGTATCACTACATACCGATTCTGCCTCACTTATTTGATTTCTTATGCCCGCCCTGGCCCACCAAATGCATCAATCGCTAATCAGATCTGTATCAGTGAATAAGGGCATTACATTTTGATAGGGTGACAGGCAGTTAGTTACGTGTGATTTTGCTAATGGATGCGTTCGTTATTCTGGACCTTCTGAAGGGGAAATAAATTTAAACACTACACTATATCCATTTTTTGTCTCTGGGTTAACAGTTAGGAATTCAAAACAGGTGATCTTTTGAGTGGGGTTGCTAGCATGCTTGCGTTTTTCTGGCCTATCTTCTTGCGTGACCAAGGGTCATAACCAGGGCTAACAGAGTTATGTTTTTAAATGAAAAAATATTTATTTCCATATTTTCGCCTTTTTTCCTATAAATCCATATTTTACACAATCACTTGAATAAATCCATATTTTGAGCATTAAAGTGTCTGAAAACCTATAGAAAGATATGTTTGGCTCAAATATTATGAAATTTCTGTCGTTTGCCTTATACTCGATAATAAATAATGTAAACAAAACATCGTTGCGTCGTTAATCAATCAAAATATGTATCATCGAATGTAACAATTATGATGCAGTTTATATTTTTAGATTCAGTTTTTATTCCATATTTCATGCTTTCAGTTCTTATGTCTCTTAAATTCTAGTGTTGTAAAGTTATTGATTAATTCTATATCTCATTGATAGTTCTACAGAAGGTGACGATCTTATCCTGAATTTATCACCTGCTGAACTGAATGCATATGCAAATGCTCCTGTTACATCTTGCGATGCTGAGCGTTCATTTTCATCATAGAAACACATATTGAGTGACAAACGCCGTAGTTTTGTTTTTACTAATCTGACACAACATGTCATATTTTGCTGCAATGATCTTTGAGACAAACGGCGCACTTTTGTTTGTAGCGATTTCTAATTGTTCATTGTCATAAAAAGTTAATATGATCGATATAATCGTCTACGTTTATCTATTTTCATACCTAAATTTATCCCTTTTTCGTCTATACTACCTATATTTATCCATTTTATTCTATATTTGTCAACTTTTTCGTCCATATTTCTCTATTTTTTCGTCCATAAATCCATACATATTTTTACGTTTTTAAGAACATAACTCTGTTAGCCCTGGTCATAACTTTTAAGTTGGGTGGAAAAACAATTAGTAGGTTCTCATTTTTGGGAGAGTATCTATTTCTATTTTCTATTTCTTTCAGAATTTCTAAATTGAGACTCTGAATTGAGCGAAGAATCTCTTATTAAGACGCAAAATTTGTTGGGTTTTAACTTTTTGCTTTTTGCACAAAATTCAATTTTATATAAAATATGCTTTATTTTTAAATTAAAACATGTAATTTATTTTTTAGGTCGATCTCGACGGTTTTTATAAAAAGAACATGCACAATTTTGCCTTGCTTTTCGACCACTTCCTTCTTGTATTTAAAGTGTTCTCCATTTGGATTTTTGTTAAAATTTGTATTTAAAAACCATTTAATAAATTCGTCACATTGGAAAAAAAATTGAAATGTATAGTACAAAAACGATAGAGTTGATATGTTTCTAGTCGACTTCATGAAAAACTCAAAAACAACAAAGAAAAAAAAAACTTGTTAGTTGTGTTATTTTCTAACGTATTCTTTTTACGCAATTAAAAACCCATGCAACTTCAATTTTGTTTTGTTTTGTAGCAGCTGTATGGAATAGTTGTTCTGTCCACCACTCACCAAGAATCCTTTCGAAGCCGGGTTCCCCGGAGCGTGGAGTGCTTCTCGAAGGCGCAGGCGGACGAGCAGCCCCGAGTTGAGTCCTGTCGCCGTGCCCCGTCGCCGCTCTAGCTCGTTGAAGGCCAGACAGTGTCCGAGGGGCAGGCGTCGGGGTCGGAAGAGCTGGCAGCAGTTCCGCGGCACTGCCTGCCAGAGACAGTCTCCGAGGATCTCGTCGCACCGCCAGGACATATCGGAAACAATTTGCGTGAAGTTCAGGTGGTTGAGCTCATCCAGGGACTCACCCTGCAGCTTATCGAAAAGGTGGAACTCCTGGAAACTCAGTCCGTCGTAGGCGGTGAGGATGCGGTCAAAGAGCTCCTCTTGGGTGGCGGTTATATTGTACCGCCTCCTAATCTCCGGTAGTCGGGACCAGTTAAGGCGGTTCTTGTTACAGATGATTACCACCGGAAAGGATATTTTGCCAATGGAGGCGTGCGAGTGGGCTACAACCGTCTGAAACTGCTTGTTTTGGTACCGCTCCCCCAGCAAATAGCTCACGTAGAGCAGAACAGTGAAGGCGCACGCCAGTGCCAGGAGCCAAAGGATCCTGTCGAAGAGAAGTCGCTGAGTCCATAGTTCAGCGGTTTTCGGATGCCCTCACCTCATGCGTCGCCGCATCGTTGGTAAAAACAGCAAATACAGTCCGTGTATATGCGATCTGCTTATGTAGCAATCGAGTAGAGCAGTCCATGCACTATTGCTCTCCGACTTTAAAATTTTGGAGGCTAGGACTCCTCGGCCCTTCTGCCGAGCCCCAAACGGAAGTACTCGCTTGACCTCACCTCTTGGACGGGAAAACATATTTGGACATTCCCCTCTGGGAGGGCCACGACTTTTATAGGCACTCCTGGGGTGCCCTGGATCGCATTGAATACGAAACCAACCAACATTATATTATATTAATCCTGTTCCATTCCGTCCACTGCTTTTTATCGCTGTTTGCAAATCCATTGCGTTGATTGCGATCAATTGAATTTGATTTTGCTTGCTTTTGACTGCCATCGGCTGTGCTCCCAAGGGTCCAAGTAATCGATTGGCCTGACCTTTGGGCGGCAGTTGGGCTGGCCGTTCTGTTAATAGGGGGCCAGCACGTCAACTGCGATGTGTGACATGTCAGGGCGTTAAGCGGATCTAATTAGCACTGCACTCCAACACGCACGTGTACCTCTGGGGGTATATAAACGGGTCGTTCTGTCCGGTCGACCGCAATCGGCGAGTCCTGTGCCGCCATGACGCTGGTCTACTTTCCCCCGCCGCGGCAGCCTCCCTCCCGCCCCAGTCGGCTGGCCCAGCAGTTGGGCCAGTCCGCTTGGCAGCTGGCCCAGCGCTTTGGAAAACGCACCACTATTCACGGCCTGGACAGACTCCTAAGCGCCAGGGCCAGCCGGTGGGAGCGGTTCGTCTGGCTGTGCACCTTCGTGACCGCCTTCCTGGGGGCGGTGTACGTGTGCCTTATCCTCTCGGCCCGCTATAACGCCGCCCACTTCCAGACGGTGGTGGACAGCACCCGCTACCCGGTGTATCGCATCCCCTTCCCGGTGGTCACGATCTGCAACCGCAACCGCCTCAACTGGGAGCGCCTGGCGCAGGCGCGGTCGCGGTTTCTGGCGAACGGCAGCGACTCCGAGCAGCTGGCCCTCTTCGAGCGCATCGTTGGCAGCTTCGACGACGTCCACTTCGGCCACTTCCAGTCCTTCGAGCAGCTGCGCAACCAGCCGACCGAGCTGCTGAGCTACATCAACTTCAGTCAGGTGGTGGACTTCATGACCTGGCGCTGCGACGAGCTGCTCGCGGACTGCCTGTGGCGCCACTATGCCTACGACTGCTGCGAGATATTCTCGAAGCGGCGCAGCCTGAACGGACTGTGCTGGGCCTTCAACTCCCTGGAGACCGACGAGGGCCGGCGGAAGCAGCTGCTCGACCCCATGTGGCCCTGGCGCACGGGCTCGGCAGGGCCCATGAGCGCCCTTTCCGTGAGGGTCCTTCTCCAAGCCTCCAAGCACTGGCCGGGCCACCGGAAGGACGCACTGGAGGGTATCGACGTCATGGTGACCGAACCGTTTGTGTGGCACAACAACCCCTTCTTCGTTCCCGCGAACACCGAGACGACCTTGGAGATCGAACCGATCATCTACTTCTACGACAACGACACGCGAGGGGTTCGCTCCGACCAGCGACAGTGTGTGTTTGACGTGAGTGGAAGCCGAGCAATAATCCCTAGGCCTTGAGCCGCGATCCAGCCAAGTGATTCCCTGCTTGACCGGCTGCTATTTCCCCGCAGGACGAGCACACCAGCAAGGACTTCAAGTCGCTACAGGGCTACGTCTACATGATCGAGAACTGCATGTCGGAATGCCAGCAGGAGTACCTGGTGCGATACTGCAACTGCACGATGGAGCTGCTGTTTCCGCCGGGTGAGCACCTCTTCGGCTTCTAGATCGTTAAGTAACTGATTCTTCTGGCCAGGCCAATACCGGTCTTGCCGGGCGCAGGACCTGCTCTGCTTGGCAGAACACAACGGTCTGTTGCAAGCACGCCTTCAAACAGGGCCCTTCTCTAACCCAGAACCTTCTCCCGCAGACCTGCTCCTCTATTCCCACCAACCAGGCGAGAAGGACTTTGTGCGAAACCAGTTCGAGGGGATGTCTTGCCGGTGCTTCCGCAACTGCTACTCCCTCAACTACATCAGCGATGTCCGCCCCGCTTTCCTGCCGCCGGAGACACACGCCAATTCCTCGTATATCGACTTGGACGTACACTACCGCTTCGAGACCATAATGGTCTACCGCACGAGTCTCGTCTTTGGCTGGGTAGACTTAATGGGTCAGTATGCCGAGCTAACAAGTGTTGTTTGTGAGGAAGTCCACATACACACGAGTGATCTGCTTACACAAATTCTAGCTTTCGACACAGCTAAGTTTATAATTCATTTGCTGTCATATTCCCCGACTTCTCCTTTGCCAGCTTTGTAATATAGTTACCAGAATCCAATTCATCAATTAAAAGTGCTGAATGTTTGTGGGCGTATGAGTCCTGAGTTTCCCCTGAGAGTAACAGGTATAATTATTTATTTTCAAACCTAAAATATATATTTTAACATAGTTTTTATAATTTTTTTTTTGTCAGAGTGAACTTTTAGGACTGAATTGTTATGAATTATGGGAATTGTATGAATTGTAAGGGCTGCGACTCCAGTATTGTTTTAAAATTATAATCTTCCATTATCTTTAAAGCTTATACTCATATATGGTACTGTTGCAGGCATCAAAACAGTAAATCAAAATGCTTAGGGGCTAAACAATATCGAAGCTATTACGATTTATCTACTAATTTTCTCTAGTTTCACGGTTGTTCCATTGACAACTATATGATACAGTCGTCCGATAAGAAAACTCGATATCAACAATGTTGTAATTTTTTTCATTAAATTTATATACATTTTTTGATCTATTCCTTGGCAGCTATATGAAATATGAATCGTGAAGTTATTGACAATTAAAGGAAAAATCGCCATAGCTGCGATGTTATTACGAGTGTATGCATTTTGCTCGACACCTAACATTTTGTTACAAGTATAGATATTAAACAAGAAAGGAAGCTAGCTTCGGCGAGCTGAAGCTAATATGCCCTTGCAGTCATCAAATTAATCAAACAAAATTGAGAAGGATTAAACATTTTTACACCATTTACAAACATTGAAATTGCGGCCCCTAGGTGCTCTTCAATAACCCGTCTGTTCTCTTTCAGTTAGTTTTGGTGGAATTGCCGGTCTGTTTCTCGGCTGCTCCCTTATAAGTGGGATGGAGTTGGCCTACTTTCTGTGTATTGAGGTGCCTGCCTTTGGATTCGACGGGTTGCGCCGGCGCTGGCGAGCAAGGCGACAGATGGATATGGGTATCAGCTTGCCCACACCAACGATGAATTTGCAGCAGAACACTCCCAGTCAGCTAATGGAGAACTACATTCTCAAATTAAGAGCAGAGAAGACCCAGCAGCAGGAGTTCAAGCAAAAAGGGAACTTTCAAAACTGGCAACGCTCAACATTTGCCCAAAAACACATTATTAGCAAGTAAATTATTGGGAGCGAATAAAGTTTATATTTCCATTCTGATGGTCAAGTAACCAAACAGATCTACATTTTCGTCTTGCAGCCCTGTCTTGGGACAGGTTAACCTATTAGGGATTCAGGTTTTGCGTTGTGTTCTATGTAATGTTATTATTATCAAACATCGTTAATCAAAAACACTGCCGGCGAAAATGTAAAAAAAATATTAAATAAACAAACGGCAAAGAGTTGTTCTTCAAAAGCTTAAATTTGTTGCTTACTTGCCGCTTTAGAAAATATTCCGATGAAATAAAGGATAAAGAAAAGGTTGTTAAAAAAAATAAAATAATTATACTAGTCAAATACCCTTTTAAATATACAAAGCCGTCAATTTTAATGCATTTCTTACTGCTAGTTAACAAGGAAACATTTGTTAATACTCAACAACAACGGTTGCGGTAGTCCAAGTACAATCTTTAAGGTAACCAATTCTGCCTCATTGTATCAATGTATTGAACAAGTTCATATTTAGAAAAACAAAAAATCGGTTTCCTGTTGTTAGGTCAAAGAATTAATATCAGCGGCAGGCGACTTTGTCCATATCACAAACATCGGAGTCCACCAACCCCAGAGGTCGGACTTTAGTAGTCGTCGAAGACGCCAAGGGAATCCGCACGCTGCAGGGCCCATTTCTGGTGGTCGTTCAAAAACTTCTGCGAGAAAATGGCGTCCATCTTGCGCTGCTTGAAGGCCTCGTCCTGCATGTTCTCTATGCTGTTGTCCTGGGCGAGTTCCTTGGGCATGGTGATCATGGGTAGAAAGGCGAACAGGCCGAAGAGCCCGTAGGTTTCGCGGCTGCGCAGCTCGTACTGCAGGTCCTCGTAGGTGGGAATGTCCTCGAAGCGGGCGTACTCCAGGGCGTCTCTAAAGGCCGCGTAGTACACCTTAACAAGCTCCTCACGGTGCTTCTGCAGCAACTCCAGCTTGATGCTGGTGTTCAGGAAGAAATTCAGGTCGCACGCCGGACTGCCGTAGAAGCTCAGCTGGAAGTCGACGAAGATGGCCCGTGTGGGCACCTCGGGCTGAGCAGCGTTCTCGTAGGCGTACATGAAGTTGTTGGTCCACATGTCACCATGGTTGAGCACCACGTACCGATCTCCCTTCCTTGCCTTGGCTGCAGCCACGCACACTGGCCGAAAGTTGTCCATCAGGCGCTGCAGGTTCTTGCTTATCTTCTCAAAGCCGGGCCACCCAGCCGAAGTTTTGATGAGGCCCTTAAGGAAGCCGCCAAACATCTGCTCAAAGGTGTCGCTCTTCATTAAGATGTCCTCGCTGAGCATGCCGCGGGTGTAGTGCTTGACAATTTCAGGATCCTGTGAGGTTAAGGGAAGTAGTCAGAACGGAGTTCAAGGTTATTCCAGTGATCAGTGATAAGTCTACCTTCTTGGCCAGCACCATGGAGGTGGCATGGAACTTGCCCAGCTGCTGAAGGATGAGGGAAGCGTGGTTCCAGTCCAGGCCGGCTTCCCTAGAGGCAACCCTGTATCCTTCCACCTTCAGGTCACTGAACACTATTGTTTGCACCGGACTCTTTACGGAGTGGTAGTATCTTGGGTAAGATAAGGTTCGTTAGACTTTCGTAAATTACGGGGAAAACTTTCCCAATACCGCTTACTTTGCTCCGAAAGTGTCTCCACGGCTCAGGATATCCAAGCGCGGCAGGACGTCGGTGTAGGTCTGCTTCTCCTTGATGAACACATTGACATCCTCCAGAAACTGCGTGGCTTCCGTAATCGGAATGGTCTTTACAATCAGCGAGAGCTGCTCCGTCGCTGCAGATTCCTTTCCATCCGCCCACTTGGCGAACGTGAGTTCGACCCGATAGATAGCTGAGCAGTAGTTGTCTCCCGGGTTGCTGCCCCACTCAAAGCTGATCTCTTTCAGGGTCACCTTCGACTGCCTCAGACCTTCTTCCAGGGTCTCCGTAAAGAACTGTTCGTTAAGATACTCAGGCACAGAGATATTTTGTTTGTTTTTTATGACCGCCATTCTGAGTGCCTTAGTTCTCTATTTTCGGCCGAACGACACTTTCACGACCACCTTTTGCCGCAAACTGTATTGGCGGCGTGAGGAACACATCATTTTATAGTTTTTGTACACCCCGTTTTTTGTCATAGGAGACGTTTCTACAGTGATTTCTAGCTCTTCAAATGACTGAGGTGTCATCATGAAAATAAAATAATTAAGCGATGAACACTACCGTGGTTAGGCTTGACCAAAAAAAGTATTATTATTATTATTATTATTATTATCGAATTTATTGTTTTCTTTTTCCTTTTCACGTTGGGGGTATGACAAATATCGTTTACATTTCTGCATCCCGTAGCTGTGTTTCTTTTCGATTTCATTATTATGCTTTTGCGACACTGAACTTTGTCCCACTGTTCAAACGTAATAGATTGCTCGGTTGATTTTTGCTCAGAGAGCTAAGTTTTTGACTAGGCTCTTCGGCTTTTGCAAAGTCATCCGCACTTAATGAAAACAAACGCTAGTAAAACATGGAAATACACATGCTTGTGAGTTGATAAAGCCCTAATTAATTTTTTGGTGTTGTCTTCTTTAGTTGTGATCAGGCAAACCTGCGGACCGAAGTGATTCGACCACGTAAAATGGGCTCTCATAAAAGTTTGGCTAGTTTATACGCCAATTCAACGACAGGCGGTGCTTCGCAGCTGGAACACCGCCTGTCAGTGGGTCAACAGTCCGGGAATTTACTCTGCGTGTTATCAACTCTGTGGTGTGTACGAACAGAGCGTTGAAGTACAAATCTTTGAGCACATGTAGATAAATAAAATAGTTTGCCCTTTTGCACGAAAGCGTTTGAGTTTAACGAGCCCCTTGGTTGCGGAAATAAAAAATTACGAGAACCGAAATCTACCTGCTCATGGGCGTGGTTGACTCAAAATGTCTTGGTAACACAAACCTCTTGAATCACGTTATCTGTTCGTTATCTGCTCGTTCACACGCTGACAATAGATTTAATCATTTCATTGTTTTTATCACATTCGGTTATTTCGACAACTGGAAATTATACAAACATTATTTACACAGAAAAAAACGCTTGAAACATAAATAATTATTTAAAATTTTAACGTAATAAACCCGATGCTTTTTATACCCTTGCAGAGCAAAGGGTATTATAATTTCAGTCAGAAGTTTGCAACGTAGTGAAGAAGACACCTCAGACCCCATAAAGTATATATATATCGATCAGAATCCAAATACGTCTGTCCGTATGCCCGTCTGTCCTCCTCTCTGTTTCTATATAAACTAGTCTCTCAGTTTTAAAGCTTTAACTTTCCCTAAAGTTGTGTAGCCATTGCACGCAGTATATAAGTCGGAACGGGACGGATCGGTCGACTATATCGGATAGCTCCCATACGAAAGAATGAAATAAAAAATTCTCAAGCCGTTGTTTTTGATCAGATCGACTTGATTTCTTCCGGATGGCGTTTTTTAACGACTATTGAAATTCTGATTAAATTTATCAAAAGCGGATAACTCTACCATATAGCTGCCATCGGAAAGTTCGAAAAATATATATATAAATAATGGAAAAAAAAATTATAATATAGTTGTTTTTAATCCCACGAACATGATTTTCAAAATATGGAGTTTTTTAGTAACCCTTGAATCGAGAAAAAATTGATCAATAGCCGAAAATGCGAAAATAATAAAAAAAATCGTCATAGTTTCGACTTTGTTTAGCCTTTATGTATTTTTTTTTACATATTTGGTGGCAAGGGTATACAAGCTTCGGCTCGCCGAAGTTAGCTTTCTTTCTTGTTTATATAGAATTGTAACCAATTTTGCTTAACACACTGTTCCTAAATATATACATGTGTACATAACGTGTTTCTCACGAATGAAACCTGGAAAAGGTAGGTGTTTGACTTACAATTTTGTGCGTTAACTTAACTCAATTTATAACATGTAACGAACTGCTTTTATATGTCTCCGCTCGCTACGTAACGTGCGGCTAGCTCAGTTGAGTTTGTGTGTTCGTCCCACCAAATTTATTGTTGCGTGACCCGAGACCAAAGAAGAACACAGAGATAGGTTAGCTTTAGAATATATGTTGGGTTTATTGTTTGTGGCTTTACAGCTTGGTATTGACTCGTGGATCTGCTGCCTGACGACTCGCTCTCCCTCGTTGACGCCGGTAATGGCTCCCGCGTCGACTCTACGGCGGCACGCCTGTCGCGCGTCCTCTGCCTTGCCGAGTCTTTTGGGCACCGGTCGCGTACTAGGCTCGCTACGAGCCTCTCACAACCTTGGAGGATGTTAGGCAGAACCTCCCTAGCGGGGCTAAGCAGTGATGCCTGCAGTCACCACTCTTCGCTCCACCCCGGAGTTCGGTCGGGACTTCGTCGGCCTGGCCCTCAGCAGGTTCTCAATCTTTCATGGGAAACCGACGCCGGGTACCTTTCGCACAACTCCACTGGATCTTCGTCGGCCTGGCCCTCAGCAGGTTCTCAATCTTTCATGGGAAACCGACGCCGGGTACCTTTCGCACAACATCCACTGCCAAGACTCCACCAACTTCGTCGATTTCGAGACTCGTAGACGCACCCTACAACTTACCTTGAACCCTCGGGATCTCAGCTTGGCAGTCTCAGCTTATGTAGACGTGACCGTCGTTGGGCTTCTTGACTCGGCGATCTTGATTCCGGATTAAACGGCACTTGGTATTCTCCTTGGGGTTTCACTCGCGTTGGTACGATCTCGTTGCACGACTTCACTTGACTGTCCCGACTGCCTGCACGCGTCCTTCTTTTATATGCATTCCATGTCCCGCTATTTCCCTCCATCGGTGGCGTGACTGGGTCCAAAGTGCAGGACAAGTGGCGTGATCGGGTCCAAAGGGCAGCACAAGTCCCGTTAGTTCACGGTCTCTCCTCTTTGTGCTGGTCCAAAGTCCGCCAACTTCACCGTTATAACGGGTACAAAGTCAAGAACTTCACCGTTATAACGGGTACAAAGTCCAGAACGGTACCGTTAGTTCACGGTCTCTCCTCTTTGCGCGGGTCCGAAGTCCGCAGACTCACCGTTATTGGGTCCAAAGTCTGCAGACTCACCGCAGCATTGAGTCCAAAGTCCTTTGCACCGTTATTCCCCTTTTCTTCTGCACGCCGCGCATCCCGCTGTTGCTATGCGGCTCTCCTGCACTCAAACTTGTAAGGAGTTTTACAAACCCTTACAAACAAATAAATAATTTGTCCATGTTACGTCGCCTATGACGGAGTATTTAAATGAGTAGTTTGTGTATGCTAAGATATTACAATTTATTTATAGGTCAACTATGTACATCCCCCAGCCTCAGACCCATGAAGTCGAAATGTTTTTCATCAGCATCACCATCTAAGTCGATAAAGACTTGTCGAATTTTCGTCTGTGTGTTTCTACGGAAAATAAAGTTCGAATTCAATTTGTTTGGGTCCGATTGATGATCATATACGTGGAGAAAGCTGAATGCAGGAACTTTTTGGTATAAAGGATGATATTAGCTATACCAAAACAACGATCGAAGACATACCGCGGGAATCCTTCAAAATAATCCGACTTATAAAACCACTGACACTGTCACCCGACTTTAGTGTTATTGAAAACCTGTGCCCTGTGGAATTTCAAATTCCAATGAATATTACCTTGCAAGTGCAATCGCCAGATCTCCAGCAAAATCGACTTTAAAATTGGCTTTATCTAAAACCACAAGAAAGTTGGTAGAGTTTTCTGCAATTACCGACGAGGGGGTCATTTTACAAGCATTACTTACGCAGATTTACAATATCAGAAGCTTTCATTAAAATTTGTACCGTTATTTTCTCTCCAAAAAATAAGAAGTAAGTTATATACCCTTGCAGTCAATTTAATTTGAAATTCGACAGTAGTTAAAAAACACCATCTGGAAGAAATCAAGTCGATGTGATGAAAATCAATAACTACACAACTTTTGGTGAAGTTTCATCAAGATATCTTTAAAACTGAGAGACTAGTTTACATAGAAACAGACAAAAGGAAAGACGTACAGACAAATTTCGATTCAGATCGTGATGCAAATCAAGAATATATATACTTTATGCGCTCCGAGGTGTCTCCTTCACTGCGTTGCAAGCTTTTGGCCTAAATTATAATGCCCTTTGCTCTGCAAGGGTATACAAGTTTTAGGCAATCTATAGGTTAAGAACTAAAAATTTATAACGTTCACAGAGACAATTTCCCAAACATTTTAACATTGTTTAAGTTCCTAATTATCGTTAGAACTTGAAGAGAAGATCCATTCTTAGCATCTTCAATCGTTACCCGCTAATCCAGCGGTACATGCACTTCATTAAGGCAATTGAAGAAGGTCCAGTCCGAGATGCGCCCCTAGTGCCCTGTCTATTAAGATCAATTAGAAAGCTGAGGGAGAACCGACAACCCCCTTCGAGATTTTGCATAAAAAGACGACAGTGGAAGCCACTGCTGCACTTTGAGCCGCGATGTCGGAGCCGGCGGAGGAACCTCCACTCTATCTGACGCCTCAGTTCTTCAGGCGCTCTCTGGAGCACGGCCTGCAGCAGCTGGATCTGCAAGTCCTCGCGGTGCAGCTGACCAATTTGACGCGGGGCGGGGAGAACTACTGCAGCAACATCTACCGTGCCCACGTCAGGTACCGCAGTGCGGGGGACAGAGTGCTGGAGGCTTCTTTGATCGTTAAGTCCATGCCGGACGAGAAGCAGGCTATTCTGGCCCGCCTGCACATCTACAACAAGGAAACCATCTTCTACACGAGCATCAAGCCGAAGCTAGAGGCGCTGATGTGGCAGGTGCACGATGTGTCCAGCCCCTGGACGCTGGCTGCCAAGTGGGTTGATTCCGAATCGTTAACTGTTATGGTGCAAGTGTACATTTTCCGTTCGAAGGCACTACTACTCCACCACCCAGCCGGAGCAGACCATTATCTTCGAGGACCTGTGCTCCGATGGCTACCAGCTGAAGTGCCGTCAGTTGGGCCTGGACTTCGACCACGCGTCTCTGGCAATGCGCAAGATGGCCGAATACCACGCCCTCACAATGATGATGGCCGAACGGGAACCGGAGACCGTCGTGGACCGCTATCCCTTCGGCCTGCTGCACATAGACGCCATCAAGTCAGAGCCCTTCAAACTGCTCTTCGGCACCCAACTCCTAAAGCTGGCCGCCTTGGTGGGTGACTCTCAGGGGTTCGGCGAGATCACCACGAAGCTGTATCGGTACCACGAGCACTTCACAGAGCGCGTCCTGAAGGCGGTGTACCCCCTTCTCGGAAGCCACAATGTGCTCAACCACGGCGACCTTTGGGTGAACAACATTTTTTTCATGTACGATTCCCACTACAAGGTGCAACAGGTGAAATTCGTAAGTACACCTGCGGGCGGCAACCTGTGACCACTCACCTAACAGCTCGTTCAGATCGACTTCCAGTTGTGCTTCTACGGCAGCCTGGGCTTCGACATAAACTACTTTCTGAACACCAGCCTGGAGCTGGAGGTACTCCGCGACCGACGGCAAGAGCTCATCGACATTTACTACAGGACACTGGTGCACATCCTCAAGCAGCTGCCCTGGACCAAGCCACTGCCCAGCTATGAGGGCGTTATGGACGAGGTGCGGCAACGCGAGGCCTACGGGTTCTTTGTGGCCTTCGGCTTCTTCCCGCTGATGAGCATGTTTGGGGCGGACTCTGAGGACAACTCGCTGAAGAACTTCCACGACGAGACATTCGCCAGGCAGAAAGTCCAGCTGATGTTCGAGGGAAACACTCGCACTCTGGACAGCTTAAAATGCACGCTCAAGCGACTGGATGAGTTGAAACTGTTTGACTAACCAGTTAACATCACATTTTGCTCGACACAGAAAGGCAGTCTGTTATCAGTGGAAGCTAAACTTCTCTCATATTAAATCGCTTTAGCAATCAGTTCACGGGTGACTAAATAAAATATTCAATAAGACGCCTTGACGCCTTAGTCAATGACAGTTGCAGAATTTGGGCGTGCTTGCGCATATTAAGTCGCAAAATGCGCGGAAAATTTGATAATTATATATTGGCATTCCCGGTGCGTGTGAAAATATTTCCCAGTGTTTGCGTAACTTGTCTGAACATACCGGGTTCAGTATATATCTAGTTTTTTAGCCAGAACATTTCAATCATCTTAAATAATAATAATAATAAAATATTAGAAAAAATTACAATAAACATCACGTACATTCACTCACCGGGTCTACGCTAGTTAGAAGTTTTCAGTTTGCGTATTTAATAAAAAAGATTTTAAAGATTCTCCAAAACTCATTGTTATTTTTATACCCTTGCAGAGCAAAAGGATATTATAATTTCAGTCAGAAGTTTGCAACGCAGTGAAGGAGACACCTCAGACCCCATAAAGTATATATATTCTTGATCAGCATCACGAGCAGAATCGGAAAACGCCTGTACGTCTGTCCGTCTGTCCGTCTGTCCGTCTGTCCGTTTCCGCGCAAACTAGTCTCTCAGTTTTAAAGCTATCTTGCTGAAACTTTTCCAAAAGTTGTGTAGTTGTTGCACGCAGTATATTAGTCGGAACGGGCCGGATCGGGCGACTATATAGGATAGCTCCCATACAAGAAATTGAAATACAAAATGTTTTGATCAGATCGACTTGAATTCTTCAAGATAGCGTTTTCTAGCTACTATTGAATTTCGGATAAAATTTTATCAAAATCGGATAACTCTATCATATAGCTGCCATAGGAGAGATCGAAAAATATATATATAATTAATGGAAATAAATTGATAACATCGCTGTTTTTTATCCCACGAGCATGATTTTTTGAATATCAAGGTTTTTAACAACCCTTAAATTGAGAAAAAAGTTTCATAAAAATCGGACTACTATATTTTATAGCTACCATAGGGAAGATCAAAAAATCTGTGAAGAAATAACGGAATTGAAATTATAACTTCGTTATTTTTCATCAGACAAGTATGATTTTTGGAATATAAAGTTTTCTAACGACTCTTGATTACGAATTAAATTTGATCAAAATCGGACAACTATATCATATAGCTGCCATATGATCTATAGTCGAAAATATGGAAAATTAATACAAAAATTGTTATAGCTTCGATGTCGGTTAGCCTTTATGTATTTTTTTTTACATATTTCATGACTGCAAGGGTATATAAGCTTCGGCTTGCCGAAGCTAGCTTCTTTTCTTGTTTAACTTGTGCCAAAAACCTTATAATTAATACTTAGGATATCACTAACACTAAGAAGTGCGCATAATGAGACTGTAACAGGCTCAGGGGAAATAGCGCTTATTGTGGAAACTTTGAAAAATTAAACTTTTTGGGCTGGTAAAGAAGAAAGCTCTCCCATTTTTCCAGGAATGTGATACAAGGACACCTTGTTGCTTGCAACAGATTCTCCACTAAATTGTTGTTATAAATAAAACTTGATTTGAGCAATTAAAAGTTCTTTGCACCATTTAAATTTGTTTCGAAACCTTTAAGATTGTGAAAAAAATCAATAATTTTTTTCAACACAAAAAAAAATCTGGAAAATCAGCTTAATCGTCAGAGGATAGGGAATATTCTTATACAAACCTGAAATAATCGTGATGCATGATTTTAATGATAATAACTCAATAATGGTCCTTTAATATTTTACTTCATAAAAATCTGATGAAATCGTTACTTCTGATATATTTAAAAATAAATCATCTGCATACAACAGTACAGTTGAAGGTACAAATTTTGGTAGGGCTTTGCAGGCAGGGGGTCGGTGGATCAGCAGATAGGGCGCTGGTCTCCGAACCGGAAGACTCCCAGGCTCCCCGAGAAAAAGAAACGGTCTCTTTTTCCAAATCTCCATCAATTCTTACGAAACCGCTCACTTAACAATAGCAACAAATTTCGGCTCCCCTGACCCGAACACCCCCTCGTCCACGTTACTATGGACACGATAATACAACTTTCGCCCCTCCCACATAGATGGTGCTAGGTGGCAACCCCACCACTAGGATAAGTCGCTACTGGCTAATCACCAGTACGATCGAAAACACCAAAGATTAATGAATCCTCTACAAAATTGTAGAGGCCCTATGTTCCCGGGTGGAGACTTAAAAAAATTTTATAATTTTGAAAATTTGTATGAATTCCTATTAAATAAAAGGAAATCGCATTTATTTATTATACCCTTGCAGAGCAAAAGGGTATTATAATGTCAGTCAGAAGCTTGCAACGCAGTGAAGGAGATACCTCAGACCCCATAAAGGATATATATTCTTGATCAAACTTGATGAAACTTTCCCAAAAGGTGTGTAGTCATTGCACGCAGTATATAAGTCGGAACGGGCCGGATCGGCCGACTATATCGGATAGCTCCCATACGAGAGAATGAAATAAAAAATTCTCACGCCGTTGTTTTTGATCAGATCGACTGATTTCTTCAAGATGGCGTTTTTGAACTGTTATTGAATTTCGGATTAAATTTGATCAAAATCGGATAACTCTATCATATAGCTGCCATAGGAGAGTTCGAAAAAATATATAGAATTAATGGAAATACAATAAATTTATAACATCGTTGTTTTTTATCCCACGAGCATGATTTTTTGAATATCAACTTTTTTAACAACCCTTATATTGAGAAAAAAGTTTCATAAAAATCGGAACCATGGCCTGACCAGCGCCATGTTTGACCGTAGATTTCAGGTTTATTTTCAAACTCTGTATTTGGTCGCCGCCACACAAATTGTCGTCCATCTGAACCAAAAATGTTACATTTTGACTTGTCAGCAAAAATAAAGTCATCCCAGATCAAAATTAGTGAAAGTATGTGCTCCTGTGACCAAATACAGAGTTTGAAAATAAGAACCTGAAATATACGGTCAAACATGGCGCTGGTCAGGCCATGGTTTGGGCCTGTAAGGCAGCCTCTGGCATGGGCAAAGTCATTTTCATGGATGGCATCAAGGACGCCACAATGTACCTCAACATTTTAGAGGATAACCTACTGCAAACTGCTAAAAAACTGGGCATACGCGATCGTTTTCGATTTTACCAGGACAACGATCCGAAGCATTCAGCAGGAATTGTGAAGTCTTGGGTTACCTGGAACTGCCCACATGTCGTTATAACGCCAGCACAGTCTCCAGATTTAAATGAGATCGAAAATTTTTGGGAAATATTGGACATCGCTATAAGGAAGAGGAAGATTTCGAACAAAAACGACCTGAAAACTGTTCTTATGGAAGAATGGCAAAAAATTCCACTGGAAACCACTAAAAAGTTATTTTGCTCCATGGGAAATCATCTCAAAGATGTCCTGAACCAGAAAAATGGACATACAAAACCGTATCAGTTAAATTACTAATAATAAGTTAAGTAGAATCTGCTGCACGAAATAAGCTGCGGCATCGAAAAACCCTGTACATTTTGTTTTTATTAAATAATTTTTTTGTTTTTATGATTAAGAAAATCGCTTTCGTTCAATAAATGAGTTAAATTAATTTAGTTAAATTAATTTAAATTTTTCAGTTATCTTTTTTAGTTTAGCAGGAATAACGATTTGAACTTTTTTTAGGTAACTGCACGAAATAAGCTGCGAGCCACTGTATGATCAATTGCCTTGCCTATCAGATACAAGTTACCCGTATGAAGAATTATTAAATAAATATGTCTTTATGCCCGCTCAAATGAGTAAGTGATTATATGACAATCACCAATTTACAGCTTACAGCTTTCAAGATATTTACTTTCATACGGGCAGAAAAACGAAAGTGGCGGTGCAAATTTATTCTTTGCGTAAATTATGGAAATATAAAAAATTTGGGTGCCTCACAATTTACTCTAGGAGTAAAGGGTGTGAAAGGAACAATTAATGTTCATAAGGGGTTGAATCATCGTAACTGAGGGATGCTTGATTATTTTATAATCCCAAATATTGTTTCTTTACCACTATACTTACATTTCTAGCAAAAAGTCTGCCTTTTCTCAATTATTTACTTTACTTCCAGACTCCCATCTATTTTCAAGTGGAAAGATTGGCTAGGATCAGCGCCTACATAAGAATTTAAGCAGAATAACCAAATTTAGGGAAAATAAGGCTTAGGTAATTGTTTTTGCGGTTCATAAGTATTTGCCTAATATTCCAAATTTCTTAATTACGAATATTCAATACATATATTTAACTTCCAATGCAAAATTTAAAGATCAGAATAAACATTGATGTATGTAAATAAATATACGGATTCAATTCATCCCTTATATGTATATGTTTGTAATCGGAGAAAACGTATCTAAATAATTAAGTTCAGACTGGCAGTTGATTGATAAGCGCACCCTTATCAAGAACTCGTTTTAATGCAAATTCGAATCAAACTTGATAAGATAATAGGTTTCTAATCGATGCAAGTAAAATCCGTTAAACTAAATATGCGAAAAGTTCAATCAGAATGTGTTAAGCTGTATACAGCATACACACAGGAAACCAAATTACTAGCTAAAAAGGTTGACGTCTTCGCGTGTTGCGTGCTTAAAAAATGTTCAAAAGTTAGAAAACTCGTTGTCGCCTATTAAAAGTAAATATACACACACGTAAGGTATTATGCATAGTATATTTCATTAATTGCACTGCTGAAATCAAGCGAGTAAGATCATTGCCAGCACCAGTGTCACGTATATAAAGTGAGCCCACTGGCTAGCTTCTGTTCAAACGATCGCAAAATGTGTAGCATTGTGTTCGACGCAGAGGTGGTCGCCCGACCTAGTCATCTGGACGTAGCTTTTTTCGAGGAGGTAATGGAGACGGCCTTACGAACCTCAAGAGTCCAGCTGCTGGAAATACACATTCAAATGGGCAGCAGCACAGGGGAAAACTACTGCAGTCAGATCTACCGAGCGAAAATAACGTTTAAACGACCCGATCATCCGGAACAGAACATGCTATTTATTGTGAAGAGCATTCCCCGCCTGGATTCGGTAGAGTTCATTGAAGATCTACAAGTATACCTTAAGGAGAAAATCACTTATCACGAAGTCCTTCCTCGGCTGGAGCTCTTGATGCAATGCAAGCGCCGCTTCGGTCCAAAGTGAGTGTTTATTTTAAGCTTATCTGAATACAATTTTTTAGCTCACTGTGCGTTTCGAGAGTCAAATATAGGTCGCATATTCAAGCCCAATATTGAAGTCCTTCCATTTTCCAAGAAACTGAAACGTAAAAATCATGCTCTTGGGATAAAAAACAACGACGTTGTAATTTTTTTCTATTATTTATATACATATGTATATATTATTCGATCTTTCCTATGACAGCTATATTGTAGAGTCATCTGATTTTGATAAAATCCAAAATTCAATAGTTGTTAGAAAACGCCATCTGAAAGAAGTCAAGTGGATCCGATCAAAAACAACCGCGCGATAATTTTGTTTTTTAATCCCTCGTATGGGAGCTAACCGATATAGTCGGCCTATCCGGCCCGTTCCGACTTATATACTGCGGAACGTTTCATCAAGATAGCTTTAAAACTGAGACTGAAACGGACAGACGGACAGACAGACAGACGTACATACGTATTTGGATTCTGATCGTGATGCTGATCAAGAATATATATACTTTATGGGGTCTGAGGTGTCTCCTTCACTGCGTTGCAAACTTCTGACTGAAACTACAATACCCTTTTGCTCTGCAAGGGTATAAAAATCAGTGAAACAGTTAAAATGCTACGTATGTCAGCTTGACCTCCAACCTTTGGACAAATATAGTAAAAGGCGGAGTCTTTTTGCAATCCCGCAGGCTTTACCAGTGCATCAAGCAGCCGGAAAACACCCTTGTTTTCGAGGATTTGGGGCAGATGGGCTTCGTGATGGCCTCCCGCGAGCTGGGATTGGACGAGGTACACTGTCAGCTGGTCATGGAGCGCTTGGCGGAGTTCCACGCCACTTCGATGGCTCTGGCGAAGTTGGTGAGTACACTCAAACGAAGGGCCCTTCGACAGATTTGAATCGAACATCTTCGAGCTTCACAGGATCCCCACATTTTCGACGCCTATGCAGACGGCATGCTCTCCCCGAAGGGACTCGCGAAGGACGACGGCCTGTTGATGCAGTTTTTCTCGGGGAACGGCAAGGAGCTGCACGCACTAGTAAGCTCGTGGCCCGGCTTCGAGCGCATCGCCGGAAAGATCGGCGAGTACCTGCGCAACCAGCGGGCTAATCTGGAACGCAGTCAAGCGCCACAGGAGAACGAGATCAAAGTACTTAACCATGGTGACCTGTGGGTCAACAACATGCTCTTCAAGTACGATACACAGCAGAAGCCGCAGGACCTTATCCTCATCGACTTCCAGCTGAGCGTGTGGGGCAGCCCGGGCATAGACCTCAACTACTTCTTTTACACGAGTCTCACTCTGGAGGTTCTGCGCCACCGACGGCCCCACCTGCTGCGCTCGTACCACGCTCGGCTGGCGGAAACGCTGCTCAGTATCGACCTCGGCATACCGGTGCCCAGCTACGATCAGATCGTCGATGAGGTTCGCCGCCGCGAGGCGTACGGCTTTTTCGCCAGCTACGGCATATTCCCCACCGTCAGCCAGGACAAGGCTCAGACCGCCGACAACAATCTGGAGAACTTCAAAAACGAAGAGTTCGCCAAGCAGAAGGTTCATCAGATGTTTGGGTCCCGCCGACTGGCAGAAACCCTTCGCTACTCGCTTCCGCACTTTGAGCGCGCCGGCGTCTTTGAATAAACTTCTTCAAAAATATTGCATCGATGTATATAAATGAAATGGTAGCTTATTTTTAATAAATTCGAAACTTTAAACAGTTCTGATCCATTTTGAATCACCAGTGATTAACCGATCCAGAATTGAGTCGAGTTTATTACGGTGCAACAAAGATTCGCAGATTGATACACGGTCGAAAAGGTTTTTTTTGTTTTTTTGGGATAACTCATGAGGCACCCATACATCGAGCTTTTTTGTTAAATTTTTCGACTTTAAATGCCTATGGACGGTTTCCGTGCTCGATCCACTATTTCCATGATTTTATTCGTATCAACGGTCACTGGTCGTCCGGAAGGCTTGGGTGTTTCGGTATCAAAATTGCCACTTCGGAATCGCCTAAACCACTGTTCGGCGGTTTGAATCGAAAATTTGTTATTTCATAAGTCAACAATAATCTGTCTGCGAGATTCCGCAACAGTTTTTCCCTGTGCGAAATAAAATTTCAAAATTGCCCGAATTTCTGCGTTTGTGAACTCCATTTCAATCGATTGTAATTTTTTAACGTGGAAGCTCATGTAAACAAACTACATACATATATGTAATTTTAAAGGTGATACCAATACCTTTCAAACGATATACAGCATTGCCAGATACGAAAATATTTGACTTCACAAGCGAAGCGCGAAATTTGAATGTAAAAACCGGTATATCATTACCAAACAACCTAATATATACATAGATAGTTCGAACTTTAACTAACTTTAACTTTAAGGCGTGAAAACACTTTTTCTGACAGCATCAACCCTTATTGATTTCTAAAGCAGCTCTTAAAAAAAACATTTTTAATCTTTCAAATTTTATGGAGCTCTATTTTAACGGTTAAATGTCCAAAAATGTGTTATACTAATAGCGAGGTTGAAAGGACGTGAATTCCCATTGAGAACGCGAGTTGGGCGGATAATAAAGTGCCTGAAAATGGTCGAAAATCCATTTCTTCGAAATGGGGGGAGGGCAAAAAAAATCTAAAAGGTGGGCAATGATGGTCAAAAAGGGGTCATTTCATTCCACTTCTTTAAGCTGAGATTGGCACTGGTCACTTCTTCAGTTGTCCGACACACTGCATTTTCAGTCGCTCAGTTTAAAAGCTATCTTACAGAAACTTTCCCAAAAGTTGTTTAGTTATTGCACGCAGTATATAATCCGGAACGGGCCGTATCGGGCGACTTTATCAGACAGCTCCCATACGAGAGATCGAAAAATGATTACTCCAATGTTTTTGATCATATCGACTTGATTTCTTCCAGTTGGAGTTTTTAACAACTTTTGTATTTCAAATTAAATTTTATTAAAATCGGATAACTCTATCGTATAGCTGCGATAGGAAAGATCGATGTACATATATAAATAATGGCAACAAAATGATAAAAACGTTGTTTTTTATCCCACGAGCACGATTTTTAGATCGAGAAATCTATATTATAGCCTCGTTGCTATTCATCAAACAAGAATAACTTTTGGAATATAAAGTTTTCCTTTCTTGTTTCAAATTCAAATCATATTGATTTCCCATGGCAGGTATATGATATAGTCACCCGATTATTCCCATGGCAGTTATAACTTTTGGTAAAGTTTCAGCGAGTAAGCTTTAAAACTGAGCAACTAGTTTACGTAGAAACAGACAGACAGACAGAAGTACATGTCTAAATCCATTCAGCCAGGCTTATGAAACGAAAGTCTGACTGAAATTTTACAACCCTCTGCAAGCGTATTTTTATAGCTTATGCGCTTTAAATTCTGTCGAAAAAATCCACAAGTTTTGATGCGCTGGGTAGATTTACAATTCGAAGGCTACTTTAGCAGTCAACAGTTTTTTCTCAATATGTATTTATTTACGAAAATACAATTTTAGTTTTATTTTAAAAATTGCACAACATGCTTTGTATTTGAAATCACCCAGAAAATACAAAATAAAATGCCTAAAAAAGTCGAATTAATCTGCAATTGTACAAAGCTACTTAAATCGATAACTTGATACTCCGCTCATTTCGTTACTTAGATTCCGTCTTAGCTTGCCCCACTGAACAGTCCAGGAGCTAACTAGAGTGTCATTTAAACTAGTTATTCTTAATCGTTACTCATTCATTGTTTGTTGAACTGCAGCAAGAAGTTCCCAAACCAAAAATTACGCTTACATATCTTAATTAACTAGAAAACTTTATGCTTATAGGTTAACTTATGGACCAGATTAGCTCCAGACATCGGCCGAATAGCGCTTTTGAGCCTCCATCTTCTTGATATACTGCACGGCGTCAGCCTCACTCATGTTACCCTTGGTGGAAAGAATTTGTACTAATATGTTCCTAACGTCCACCGCCATGTTCTTAGCATCCCTGGTTAAGAATATGGTTAATATGGTTTGTTTTATAGTATCTGATATTCTGATCCGTTCGGACAACTCACCCGCAAATGTAGAAGTGTCCCTTGTTCTCGCCAATCACGTTCCATATCAGATCTGCGTCCTGCTCGAGCAGGTGCTGAACATACACCTTCTTGTCCTGATCCCGGGAAAAGGCAGCTTTAAGGATCAGTGTGCCCTTCTTGACCCATTCCTCCAACTCAGTTTCGTAAATGTAGTCTTCACTGCGCTTACGACAACCAAAGTAGAGTATCGAGTCGCCCACCGTTTTGCCCTCATCTCGCAGAAACTGTCGCTCTTGAATGAAACCGCGGAAAGGCGCAAGACCAGTGCCGGGGCCTACCATTATAATTGGAGTCTCTGGCTTTGTAGGTAGTCGGAACTGCGACTTGCGAATAAACACAGGCACCTTCACTTCCTCGCCGCTGTTGGGTTGCTTATTTTTCAGATAAGTGGTAGCCACGCCCTTGTTTGTGCGTCCAGTGGGAGTCTTGTACTCCACTAGTACGGCTGTAACGTGGACGTCAGTGGGGTGCAACTTAGCCGACGACGATATGGAATAGTAACGGGGCTGTAAGCGCGGCAACAGCTCACAAACGTGGTCGATGGGTGGGCGGCAGGACTTAATGTCTTCCAGGATGTGAACCACGTTGCGACAGGCGTCTTGAATCCAGCTCTGGTACTTTTCCTTTCCTGTAACAATTCAAATGCAAACGCAAGTCGTTAATAAACGTGTAAAAAATGGTATTAGGTCAATTTTTGGCAAAAATTATCAAAGAAACTGTGTGATTAGCCATGTTTGACCCTGATTAAAAAAATCAAACAAGAAGAACGTCGTGAATCTATGCGATGAGATACCCATAACTATCATAAACTATGGGTGTTATAGATTTCTGAAACAACAATCCCCGCCAATATACTTTCCAAATAATTCAGTAATATTGTACTGTAACGGGCAACTTATTTTATATTATCGGTTTTTTGGTTTCGTTATGTTGGTACAATCTGTTTAAACATCTGTACTTGATTTCAAGTCAATGGCATTTTTTGTTTGGTTGGAAAACCACGAAGGCTATAAGTGTTTTGGATGCTCGACGATTTTGTGCTATCGATAAATATGGATCAAAGTATTTGCAGCAAACTTTGTGTAAAAAATTAAATTAAGTGCTCCGTAACACTTGCAATATTGACAGTGGCATTCAATGAAACTGTTCTGGGTTAGGAAAACGTTTACATTTACAAGTGGTTCAATAACGAGCCTTGCTCTGGACGACCAAGCACTTTAACAACTAATGAAAACGATCAAGCACATCCACAACTTATTGAATCACTATCTAGGCTCGCGGCATTACATTTTTTTAACGTTTTGGGCCTGAGACGTGTTTCACCAAAGTTTGTGCCGAAATTTGTTGCTTGTAAGAAAATGAGTGTGTTTGCTTGTGAGTAAACTAGATAAATAAATATTTTTTCTTAGAAATACAAAGTCGCCTTACTTTTTGAACACAACACGGATATAACGCGCCCGTTAAAACTTACTTCTTACTTCACTTTGAAGGTTTTTGAGGGTTGATTAAAAATTGTGGTACCGACTTAGCTGAAGTAAATTTTAAGTGGTTTCTCACCTTCCGGACTAATGGAGGCCATGCTGCGCAGCAGCTCCTTTTCCTTGTCGTCAGTACAATACTCGGCAAGCTCCTTGAGGATGTGTGTGCGAGGTATGGCGGTAATTTCCAAGTAGTGGGTCAATGCAGTGCGGTATGTGGTGGGGCATGGGAACGGATGCTTTTTGCTGCTATCAGTGTCGGTGTTAATCAGAGAGAAGACAGTGTCCAGTTCGGCGTTGCACAGCTGTCCGAGTTTCTCCACAAGGTTCTTATCATTAACAGGATACATAGCCACATGATCGCCAGCGTCGTACCGCATTTTTGATCCTTCGATGCTCAACTCTATGTGCATGCAGGAGCGGCCACCGCCCTTGTGAAGCTCGCGATTAACTTTAATAGGTGCCAGGAAAGGATTTTTGGCGTCAAATGGCGGGCGCTGGTTCTGCAAGGAGTGCAGGCGGGCAATCTCTCCAGTGTAGATACGATCAGGCTGCACCTCCGGCTGTTCCAGCAGACGGTACTGGCGGATAAGGACTTCCTCACCGCCGCCCTCAATTCCGAAGTGGTCGCATACGGCGGGCCAGAAGCGGTCCTTCCACGTAATGAAATCATCTTCAATGCTATTGGGTAAAAAAAACATGAGGGTGATTTTTTATTTTTATTGACTACTTACTTGGCATCATCATCGCCCAGTCCTAGTTCAAACACTCGGTTTGCGCCCAGTTCCTCCAGCCGTTTGTCGACGTAGATGGCTACCTTGTTGTAATGCTCGTATGTCTTGTTACCCAGCCCAAAGACCTATAAAATTGATTAACAGATAAATTGATTAAATGAAATGCACAAAGTACAATATAGACCTAACTTAACTTAGTTGCATATCTCGAAACCCTTTAACGATTTTAAAACCACAACAATTGTGCTTCCACATGGTGTTTCTATAATTTTAAAAGTTGTTTTACCCTCCTTTCCGTCTTTAGTTTCAGCGCGCAAGTTTTATTACGTAAACTATATAAAAAAAGGTTCGCGATTCTCAGCTGGAAATTTTGATAGCGACCAATCCCGAAAAAGAAAGCTGAAGCTGTAAGCGTATTCTGCATTTTCCCATCAACAATCGTCGGAAACGAATCCGCAAAGTAAAAATGATAAAAATAACCAAATTGCAAGTGAACAGAACACAATTGGATACAGATAATTCTCTTAAAACATACTAAAAATTCCCCACGACAACTGCTACGTAAGTGCGAGCCCGACCAACGCTTTTTTGAGCAAGGCTATAACCAAAGATTTGCAAATAATTTTTTGAATTTAAAAATAGTGGATTAAGTTTAAGCGTCACTTGCAGATCCCACATTCAAAATATTGGAAAATATATCACACAAGTATATCACACTAAAGTCCTTATATTTACAAATATACTTAACCAGAACCATCTAAATATGATCTTGGAAACTAGATTCTAGTAAAGGCTACATATCAAAAGATTTTGCCAAGTGCTACTTAAACCACAACAACGCTAACCAATATAAATACTTAGAATATCTACAGCATCATAATAGCAGTTGTTTGGAGCTGTTAGATTTTTCCCATTTATTTTGTATTAGGAGCCTGGACAGTGTCGTTACTAATATTATCCCTCTCCCTACATCAGCTGCAGCAAAATACAAAAACTTCTACGAAATTGTGATTACGGAAACAAACGATCGCTTATCGACGGGGCGGTGCTCGATAAGCATAACGGTATATGTCCCCCATTTCGAGGCCAGTGTGAGTCGTGTAATTAAAGTTTGTTTAGATAACGCCGATTTCAGTTATTGGGCTACCACTTACCGCATAATTTAACCCGGACAGGTCGACATCACCGTTGGTGATCCACTCGAAAAACTCCATTGCGTTGTCTGTGGGATCTCCCTCACCGTAAGTGGCGAGACAGAAAACAGCCAATGAGTTAGATATGTCCTTTAGTTGCAGCAGCTCCTCCATATCGCACTCCTCGGGATCAGCAACCATGCCCTTCAGACGGTAACGAATACCCTCCTTGGCCAGGCGGCCGGCAAACTCCTCTCCAGTTCCGGTCTGCGAGCCGTAAAACACAACAAGGCTGCGCCCAGAGGCTTTTAGCTTCTTAATAAATGAATTGTCAGCCGCACTGGTGGTGCAAACTGTAGTGGGTCTGTACAAAATAAGAAAATGCTTTTAAAACCATCATGATACGATCATAATTAAATTAAAATTTTATTAAGAACGCAAGTGAGATAACTTTACTTTCGGATTTCAACTAGATAAGATAGATAGATTCTTTCAGATTACTTACTGAACTTTTTGTTTTGCAAATACTCACTGAATGGAATAGCTCCTGGCCGGCTCCTCCTCCTTCTTGCGGCTGCGAAGGAAGTAAAATGCGGCACCGCCGATTAGTACCGCCAGTAGGGCCACGTCCAGCAGGCCCAGGAAGGGTTCGTCACCGCCGCTCACTGCTGCTCCCTCAATTGTTTGCTCGCTGGCCATGGTGGAAAGTGTGCGACTGCAAAAAGGGCACGAAATTCACGGCGCTTTAGTTTTCGCTTTGCATAACATTTTTTCGAGCTCGATTAGCATGACGCGCACTTTGGACACGCACTCTAATGTATTCCACGTAAGCCAGAGCTTACGGAGCATCGACTGTGCGTCTAACTGTAAACTGCTTCCGCACTTATTTTTACGGTGCAAGGTAGCGCATTAGCGGATTGGTCCAAAAGCAGCGTGTGACATTGGAATCGACTATCTAATGGGATTTTAATCGATTCTACCTTGAGTCTTTTTGTTTTGGCAGGGGGTTTTACTTCAATTATTAGCGCACCTCGATCACACTTGCAGTTGTGCAATTAAAACTGTGAATTAGATTTCCTACTACTACGACGCGACGTCTGCTCGGCTTAACAGAACACTGCTCACTGCCGGCCGACAACAACAGGTTTTATGCACTGCGCCTATCGGACGTCGCCGCCAATTGAGAGATATGATGAAAGCGAATAAAAATATTTGAAATGCGTTGTTTCCAAGTCACAGCAAAAAAGCCAAAGCTACTCCAAAAAGTGATAATGAAAGCTAAAGTAGTTTACTTTCAATTTAATATATTTGTGATACTAGTGATCTTTGTTCATGTCGTTTCTTTAAGGGTGTTTCATTTTTATTTTATTGATTCTGAAATGAATGAAACAGAGCCTAGTAAACGTCCGAATCGGACGACTATATCATAAAGCTGCCAATCGAAAAAGTCAAGAAATCTATATAGAATGAATGGAAAAAAATAAAACGTTGTTGTTTTTTATCATACAACCATAATTTTTGGAATAAAAAAGTGTTAAGGGAGAATTGAAATAAAAAAACTAAGTCTCGTCGTTTTCTACATTTAAGATCTAACTGAAAGGGTATATATTCTTTCCGATCCTACAATCAATGAATTTTGGGATATAAAGTTTTCTTACGACTCTTGAATTACGAATTAATTTTTAATTTCGGAGAAATTAAAGAAAGTTGATAAAGAAAGAAGTCGACATTTTAATGTTGTTTAGCATTCAAGTACGGAGCTAGACTACTTTAAAAATTGTTAATACAATAAAATAGTTTTTTCAATAAAGAAATTATTTAGCAGCTCTTTAAATCAAATTTTATTACTTTGTTAAGTTACAGTTGTATCTAGTGCCTTAATAAAAGATATTTCACTTGACTTGCTTTTTGAAACCAAACTTAAGCCACAGGAAATTTGACTTTGTCTGTTCGTTGTTTATGTGCTTGAAAGTCTTGAAGTTGCACCTTGAATTCGCATTTGACTTAATGCTTTAATGTTACAAACGCGCTGCTTCGGGTGTGTACTTTGAATAGACTCGCGTAATAGTTCTTGTTGCTGTGGTCAGCGAAGGCAGAAAATAAATATTAATCATCCAGGCTTCCGAACCGAGCGTACGAAGCATATGCAAATCGACAATTTTAGTTGAAAAAAGGTGTCCGACGCTCCGTGGTGACACACAGCTGACGATAACGACTAAAACCGACAACAAGTGGAAGCAAACATCAAATTGGTGAATTTATATAGGTCACTTTTCAACCATTGTGAACTATGTGCGCTTCTTCAGCGGACGCCACCCAATATCGACTAATGAAAGAGTCTTGACGTCTGAATTACATTAGAACTTAAATAGTTTAAAAAACTTATACTTACAACGCTATCAAATAAAACTAATCGCTTATTTTAAAATGCGCTTCTAATCAAATTTTGGGATAACTGCTCAGGCATATAAATCATACTTTTCTAAAGACAACTCTCCTTCTACTTCAACGTAAAATAACTAATGCATAAATGCACTCAAACCTTAATTTATCGAGGGGTATAGCTTTTTATAACAAAGGTAAAAACATAAATAAAACAAATAGGTAAATAAAATATAATATAAATATCCGATTAATGGTTAATGGTTTTTTGTTAAGCTGACTTAAATTATGCGCATTTTGGTGTGAGCATGACTAAACAGTCAATGAGCAGCTGCAGCCGTGCCTATTGCGTTAGAATTCTTTTAGCCCGGCAACAACCTTTGCCCTAATGGTCAGCCACAAAAGGTCAGTCGTCATGGTTAGTCACTAAGAGTAAGTCCCGTAGGCTTAGTTACAATAGGTCAGTCACTATTGGTTAGTGAAATCGCCATACTCGAATGTATCTAAACATTAAATAAGGCGTTTAAATATAAATATAAACAAATTAAATGAGGTATGTGCTCATAGTAAAAATAAAAACACGGTTTATTGCGCATTAAACCTTAACATTTATTTTTTCATCAACATTTTTTCGATTTATTTATTTTATTTAATATAGATTTATAGATTTTAAAGCATTATTTTATTAGAAGATAATATCTTTGTATACTCTTGCAGAGTGTTTATAATTTCTGGCAGAAGTTTTCAACGCAGATACAAATTTTTTGAATATAAAGTTTTCTAGCGACTTTTGAAGTTCGGATTTAATTTCATAAGAATCGGACGACTTTATCATATAGCTGTCATAGGAACTATTGGTAAAAATATACTAAATTTATGCCTTTATGCATTTTGCTCAAAATTTTTGATGACTGCTAAGGTATATAAGCTTCGGCTCGTTTAGATTCTAGATTTTTTTCGTGATTTTTTTTTTTACCAAAAATAAAAAGAGTTTGTGGCCAGGAAGTTCCATTAAAACAAGCCATCTTCTGTGTATTCCAATATATTAAATCAGATGAACTATCTCATTTTATCTCACCTTAAAAAAAGGTTCTATGGTGTAGTCAAAACAAACAACTAGCTCATGACACACCATCGCCTTCGACACGATAATGCTGAGAATCTGCCTTAGTACATGCGATTTGAAATTTCCCTAACCACCATGACAGTCTCGAATTCCTCGTTTGGCTCGGCAGGAAAATAATACAGTAAGCATGACATCGCATTTTTTTCGCTCACAAATAACTTTTCTTATCATAACCTTTGCTAGACAAATGATTAGGTTTAGAGCAAACACAAAAAGTATTTCTTGGCTCTTTGGTTAGTATGATGTATAATGAAATCCTCTGCTGAAAGCCAAAGATAGTAAGAAAAATCGTGTACAGATGGCCCCAACTTTGACCTGATCTTTTTTAAGTTTAAAGTAAGTAAACGTAAGTATTTTTTAGTATAACAACTATAACTCAGACAAAAATTGACAACTTGACAAAAAAAATTATTTCTAGGGTTTCTCACCCGAAGGTGAAGTTGCCAGCTTTGTTATGTTCATAACTGAATATTTTTTTGAATGTGTAAAAATAAAGAGCACGTAAAAAAATTCAGTTCGCATTTAAAATATTTAGTGTCATCGTTGAGGCCTTTTAAAAGAAATTTATCCCTTACAAAATTATTTATTCAGCAATTTTGCTTATTTGGCGAGATTGAGCTATTTTCAGAGTCTGAAAAATCCAATTTCTAATAGTATTGAACATGCTGGTTCCATTGATAAAAATACTTCCCACATCCACAGGGCGCATTATCATTGACAAGTTGGGATTAAACAAACAGCTTCTTAAACTACCTACTTTTAAAAAAAAAGTTTTTAGAAAGATTAAAAAAAAAGTATGTACAAAGGGCAATCGTTATTAATGTTTATTAAACATTACATTTTATTGTGCTTTATATAAGAAAATAATGACAAATAAATTAAAACAGTTGTATATAAGTTAACGGGTTTTATGGGATTTGCTTTAATAAGTTTAAGGGGCACAACTAGTGCAACGGCCTAAACATAATGTGATTTTTGTGAATTTTTATTAAAAAAATACTTAACCAAATTTTTCAAAACTTTAAGAATATGTTTATACATGTTTTACTACAGTGAAATTTTTATAGAAAAAAATTAAATAATTTTTAAGTTATAGTCAGTCTTCAACGGCGCGAAAAAAGTTCCTTCACTGCTACAGTGATTAAAACCTTCTCCGTGGATGAAAGACAAAAAAAACAAGAAAGGAAGCTAACTTCGGCAAGCCGAAACTTATATACCCTTGCAGTCATTAAATATATCTAAGAAAATACAAAAAGGCTAAACAGCATCGAATCTATGACGATATTGTTCATATGACAGCTTTCCAAAAATCATGATTGTCTGATGAAAAACAACGAGGTAATAATTTTATTTCCGTTATTTCTACAGTCGAATTCCGATTATACGTACCCCGCTAAATCGAAAATCGCGATAATTCTTAAAAAAAATTCTATTCCCTTGAAAAAAAAAACCCTTGAAAAAAATCTCGATAAATCGAATTCCCGTCTAATTCGTAAAAAAAGTGATCCCCTTGCCATTTCGAATTATCGGGACTCGACTGTATATAGATTTTTCGATCTTTCCTATGGCAGCTATATGATATAGTTATCCAATTTTAATAAAATTTAGTTCGAAATTGTATAGCATGAAGTTAAAAAACATCATCTGAAAAAAATCAAGTCGATAAAATCAGAAATAACGGCGTGATAATTTTATTTTTCGATCTCTTGTATGGGAGCTATCCTATATAGTCACCCGATCCGTCCCGCTTCGACTAATATAATGCATGCAATAACAACACAACTTTTGGTAAAGATTAAGAAATATAGCTTTAAAACTGAGAGACTAGTTTACATAGAAACAATCAGATTACATATTTATGTATACTGCGAGCAATTTAAGGAAAGTAGCACAGGAAGCAGCCTTAAGACAACGTCACCTGTGCGAGATCAATGATAAAATGCGTGGAAAACATTTCTACAGAATGCGAACGAAGATAACAAAACTGTTTTAATCTAATTACATGGAGATTAGCGGATTGGAGTATTCGAGAGCGAGATATAAGACCAGTCCCTATGTGAGAGAAAGAGAACAAGCGAGCTCAGCAACAGGTACTGAACTTTAAACTCGCTCGCAAGCGCATGTGTGTGCGAGCGAGAGTTTTGATGTGGTGTGTGATTGCTCCATCTGTCCTTGTCGTTTTAACCTTGACCGTCAATGCAGCGCTCTCGTCGCATATCAAATAATCGAAACATAACTTAATTTATGGATTTCGGCTACGTGTGGCCCTGTGGGTTGGGTTTCCAAAAAATTTTTTTTTGCAACTCACCAAATTTGCTGCGCTGATTTTGGTTCTAACACGATCCGTTGATTCGATGTTGCGCCTCTTCCGTTTTGTTCCCCTTGTTTAACCCGATATGAGCACAACAAAGCTCTTAATTTGATTTATTTAGTTAAAGTGGAAGGGGAGTCACAAATACCACGGCGGAAACAGCAACTGTATGCTGTATGGGCTTACACTGAAACGCAAACACGTACTTCTTAAGTTCGATCACCACGGCTTCGCGTAGTGTGACCGTGGCTCAAAAAATACCTTTGTCTATAAAAACATTTTCGTCAAGTTAGCGTCAAAAACAAAGCGGTTGATTTTGAAACACGTGGACTAGCATCAATAAAGAAGTGTACGTATTGTTAGGCGTAACTTTAAAAAAGAGGAGTCGCAAAAAAAAAAAAATGTATAGAACAAAAAACATTGAACACAAATTTTTTTAACGTTTATTACATGTTATTTACTTTTGCGACACCTTTTAAATTTTACTGTCATGAGAAGCCCCGTATAAGGTAAAGTTGCGCTTTAGTGGCTTTTGCTAAAAATGGGCTAGGAATTTTATTCTTTTTTAAGAAAGCTACCTTGGGACCTAAAAATTAATAAAAATAGTGGCGGAATCTGTGATTTCTAATTATTTTTTTGTAAAAATAGCAAAAAACAAAAGCCATTTTCTGGATATTCACTCAGTACTATAAAATCACTCTGAGTCATTTCGCAACCTTTACAGCATTCAGTACTAAAATTGGCAGTGCCTGACATGATGAAATTGTTTAATTTCTTTTGTTATTAAATTTTCACACAATTGCAGCACTCTTCATCCACAATACATTCTTCCCGGTAAAGTTTTTCGCTTGAAAAACATGGCAATGTTCTAAAAACAGGTTGTCTCGCGGTAGTGATAATAGCTATTTTAACACATAAATAATTTAAATTTACGCTTTCCGCTTTTTTAAAAAAGAATAAATTTCCTAGCCCATTTTTAGCAAAAGCCGCTAAAGCGCAACTTTACCCAATTTAGCTTTAGGATTAGACTTACTCGGTTTTTTTTTTTGTTGTTTTCAGGTAAGAGATTGCTGTTTTTTTTTTTTGCATAACTGCGATTTGTGTGAAGGAATCGCATCATTTTTGGGAAAGAAGACAAACATTCCATCCGAGATAAGAACCAATGTTTTAAAAAGTGGAAAAAAATTCGCGGCTGGCGCTGCCAACTTATGTGGACAACGGGAATTTTTTTTAGGGGGAAAGTCAATTGGCCATGTGGCAACACTGCTCGGCCTCCTGTTCGTTTTAGTTTTTGTTAATTTTAATTTCAACTGTCTCTTAAAACGGCGATCCTTTAGCTGGGGTCCATTGTTTACCACACGCTCACGTGTGCGAAAGTGCCTTGACCGCAGTGCCTTCGAAACTGAGCCAAAGCTTGCTCGTTCTAGTTGGGAAATTTACTCCACAAATGCGTCGATGTTGCTACTTTTTTAGCCAACTACTGACCGCGGACGAACAAGCAGACAGAAAGCAGAACACGGCTTGGAAATGCCACTGAAGTTCTTGAAAAAATGTCGTCAGTACAATGTTACGTCGAAGAGTTTGTTTGTCATATCAGTGCATCACCTACTGGGTGAGTAAAAGTAAACCCCACAGTTCGAGGGGCGTAGCGCGTCCAAACAAGAAGGCAGAAGCCCCTCGGTGACAAAGCCAGAACTTAACAGCTGTCGCTGGCCTATACACTTGTTGATTTTTTTAATTGGGAATGTATTCACAACACGATTTTGCTGTAACTCGGCATTGTAATAAGGTCCCGTCTTCTATCGCCTTTCACACACACACACTTGATGCCTTATTGTTTCTCCTTAACAGAAAACGGAGCTCAATATCTTTGAGTAATATTTCTTAGGTAAAAAAAGAATCGATACGTTTAACTTTCACAAAAACCTTTGCGAGAAGTATATTAACGTAGAGGAGAATCAATATTTTACCTCTTCCAGTTTTTTAATATATAAATTTTATTTTCCAAACTCGGAGTTTTTAAATTAATGAAAAGTTACCAAATAATACGGATTTTCAGATCTTGGGCCAAACAGAAATTTAAATATACTGATTAAATGAAAACAGGTGGTGGATAAAACACAAATCATTTAACAGAAGCTATTTAAGGGGTGTGCTGACAATTTTCGTTCATAAATCGAATAAGGAATCAAAATATATTAATATGTTAATACCTCCGAGCGCTGCGGGCAGGCCTAATTGTTTTGTTACCGCTTTGGTCGACGGTCACAGCACATTTTCATTGTCTCTGCCATTTCAGACACCTCCAGCACGGTGGACTGCACGATCAGCTCGGAGAGCAAGGGACAGGAATGCCTGGACAACGTTTGCCAGCGTCTGCTGATCCAGCAGCCGGAGTTTTTCGGACTGCGGTATCTGGTGAAGGGGAAGGACAAGGAAGACGAGTTCAAGTGGATTGATTTGGAAAGATCACTCAGCCGTCAGCTGGAAAAGTACGCGGTAGGGCCGAAGATCTTCTTGCGTGTGCGCCACTACGTAACCACGGGCGTGCGTCACCTGAGCGACGAGGCCACTCGTTTTTACTACTTCCTTCAGCTGAAGAGCGACATCTACGAGGGACGCATCGCTTGTGACATCCGCACGGCCATCCTTTTGGCGCTCTACTGCCGTCAAGCCGAGTACGACAGCTATCAGGGCGACAAGCAGAGCAAGGACTACCTAAAGAAGTCACTAGTTCTGCCGCGCAACATGCAGGGCTTGGCCAACGACGACAGCATGCTGGAGGGTCTGATCATGGAGGTCCTGCAACAGCAGGCTGGGCTGGCCCATTTGGGCCAAAGCCAGGCGGAGGAGATGTACATACAGTGCTGCCAACAACTGGACGGCTATGGGGAAGAGCGCTTCGCCGCCAAGGACACGCTTGGCAACGACCTGTTGTTGGGTCTCGCTATCAACGGAATGGTGGTGAGCGCGGACAATGGGCGGCAGTATTTTCCGTGGAAGGACTTCCACACGGTGACCATTGACAAGCGAACGATTAAGATCGAGCAGAACAAGGTGGACGGCGGAGGCAGCATTGTGGGCAGCTTTATTTTCAGTGAAGCAGACACGGCTCGGTACTTCTGGAAGCTTACCATAAGTCAGCATAAGTTTTTCAAGCGCTACATCGACACCGCCACGCCGTCGAGCTTGGGAAGTGGTGTCGACGTTGAGAGTGGTCAGCTGGGAGTAGATAGCGTCGGTTACGTCGAGTATGACTACGCGGAAGCGGCAGCTGCAGAACAACAGGAGCATATCCAAAAGCAGCAACAGATTCAGCAGCAGCAACAGATGATTTCCTCGAATATTTCCTTGACCGCCAGTGCCAGCCAGTTATTGGGGCAAAGCAGTTCTTGTCTGGACCTAAGCAACAATAACTTGCACAGCAGCAGTGGAATGCTGCACCACGGAAGTAGCAGCAACAACAATAATAACATCGAGGAACGAGAACGCCTAAAAGCGATGCTGCCCACATACCGTCCTGCGCCGGATTATGAGACGGCGGTGCAACTGAAGTACCGCACACCTTCGACGGAGCTCCACAACGTGGCACTGGCGCTATCCCCACCCGGGAACACCTACTATGCGGGCTCGCAGCCCGATGTTCACAATCCTGGCGTGTACAACGAGAGCATGCTGTATGGTCACCTGACTGCGCATCGATATCCGGATGTGGCTCAGCCGGCAGTTGCCCTGCACCACCACATAAACCTGTACCAGGCGCAGCAGCAACCGCAGTCACATCCAATGAGCACAGCGCAGGCGTATATGGAGCTCTCACAGCGTATGCACATGATGCGTCACAAGGCGCCACCGCCGTATGTCAACCGGCTGAGTTCCTCCTCAACGCCCGATCTAGCCGTGGCCACCCCCCGTCCGTTGCAGGGCTATCGAAACTATGTAAGTGGATCATCGCCGGATCTAGTCTCCAACCGGACGCTCTTCAATGGCGGTCAGTTCGTGGCCCTGACCACTGGTGGACATAACGGCAACATTCCCACCTCTTCCGGGGCCACTATGCTGCATCAGTACCAGTATGTGAGCCACATGGGGCATTCGCAGCCCTATTTGCCCCCGCACGGAACCTTTGAGAACCTCAACATGATCGAGGAACAACCGTCCATTATGTCTCAGCTGCGTCAGTCGGCGATGAGCCAGGCAGCGGCTGCCGCTGCGGCGATTACCCAGAGGTATGTGGATCTTATGTCAACAAGTTTCGCTTTTGGGCCGTATGGTGCAACCAACTAATACTCTCAAAAAGACATACCACTAGCTTTTCGGGATCCGTAGCTTTAAGTTTGATACCTTTATAAGTTAAACAAGGAATACTTTAACGGTTTAAGGAGATTAGTTAGAATAAGCTGGGGGTGCCAAAAAACTACTCTCTTTGAAAACTTTGAATTACACCTCTACTTATTTTCCAGTTCGCCTACTCAGCCTCCGAGTGGATATCGTAGTTCGGTACAAGCGTCAGACAGCAGTCAGCTTCCACCTCCGGTGATTGCGCCGTCGCTTAAGTCGGCTACGCCTGCGCCCCTTCAGAGGAGCTTAGTGAATGGGTCTATCGAGCCCATCTACGAAAACGTCCCCCTTCCTATGCGTCAGCGAGCCTCGTCGATACAGTCCGCTCCAGGTGTTGTCCCCGTTCCGGCTGCGCGGAATGCCAGCTCCAAAAACCTTGTCACTGTCACAGTTAATTCCCAGCCTGACGAGGGAAACATACAAAATTACGGGGCGGACCGCGCTGCCAGCACGGAGCTGCTTTTTTTGGAGCCTCAGGCCCCTAAGCGTTCCACCAGAGCCACAAGCGCTGCTCCGGATATGGGAGCCACGTCTCCTTCACGACAACATCGCGCAACAGCTAGCCTGAACAAGTCGACTATCGACGTCATCACGCCGGCCGGAGACACACTGCAACAGCAACTTAGTGCCATGAATATTTCTGCCAATACATCCGCTTCCACCAGCTCCGTATTTAACTCGACCTTGGACACTACGTCCTCATCGGCAGCCAGCAAGGACTCAAAGCGCAAGAAGCGTTGGAACTTCTTGTCACGTAGCAAAACTCCCGACAAACAAAAGTCCGCCACACTCGGCAGGGAAAAAGCCACGACCGTAGGCCAGCACGCTAAGCTGGCAGCGAAGCTGAAGCTGGCCCAAGATGATCTCAACGTGCCACATCGTTGGTCAACGGGCGTAAGCAAGCCGCAGCCCATTTCCGGGAGGTGTTCTAAGGACAAACTGGTATGTGAGCATTTCAATTTGTATTTTCTTGCAGAGGGTATTGTAATTACAGTCACAATCCCTGGTTATGCGTTTTGATCGACATTTAGTAGTTGCGATAATAGATATTAAAAAGTTATTTGTATAACTGGGCGGGCGCAGGGGGTGGTCCGAGGGGTCCGGAATCCCCCTAAAAATTTTTTCTGCGTCCTGTATAAAAATCGAATTACTTATCATATATAAGAATAAGAAAAATTACCGAGAAGGCGACGAAACTATACAATTTTAAAACAGTGAACTTTATTGCTGCCATTTAAATTTTTAGAAATTTGTGGTTATACGCGGACTTAGTGATTCTTTTCGATTAATGGGTAGAGAGCAGAGACCGATTATAGAGTTTTCTAACTCTTAAATAACGAATTAAATTTCATCAAAATCGGACGACTAGCTTCCTTTCTTGTAATGAAATTGATTGAGTATTGAAATTAATGATATAGTAGCAGTGGCGTAGCGTGCCTTGTCGGGGCCCCGTATAAAAAATTTTTTGGGGGCCCTTATATGGAGGTAAAGATTTTTCACAAAAGAAAACAAGAAAGGAAGCTAGCTTCGGCAAACCGAAGCTTTTATACCTTTGCAGTCATATGTCGAAAAAAAATACATAACGGCTAAAGAACATCGAAGCTAAGACGATTTTTCTATTCATTTTCTATATTTTCGACTATTGTTCAAATGACGGCTATATGATATACTCGTCCGATTTTGATGAAATAATTCGGTATTCAAGAGTCGTTAGAAAACTCTATATTCCAAAAATCATGGTTGTCTGATGAAAAACAACGATGTTACAATTTTATTTCCGTTATTTCTATATAGATTTTTCGATCTTTCCTATGGCAGCTATAAGATATAGTTGTCCGATTTTTATGAAACTTTTTTCTCAATATAAGAGTTTTTAAAAACTTGATATTCAAAAAATCATGCTTGTGGGATAAAAAACAACGATGTTATCAATTTATTTCCATTAATTCTATATATATTTTTCGATCGCTCCTATGACGGCTATATGATAGAGTTATCCGATTTTGATCAAATTTAATCCGAAATTCAAAAACAGTTAGAAAACGCCATCTTGAAGAAATCAAGTCGATCTGATCAAAAACAACGGTCTGAGAATTTTTTATTTCCTTCTCTCGTATGGGAGCTATCCGATATAGTCGGCCGATCCGGCCCGTTTCGACTTATATACTGCGTGCAATAACTACACACCTTTTGGAAAAGTTTCAGCAAGATAGCTTTAAAACTGAGAGACTAGTTCACATAGAAACAGACAGACGGACAGACGTACAGACGTATTCTGATTCTACTCGTGATGCTGATCAAGAATATATATACTTTATGGGGTCTGAGGTGTCTCCTTCACTGCGTTGCAAACTTCTGACTGAAATTATAATACCCTTTTGCTCTGCAAGGGTATACAAAATATTGTGAGAAGAAATATTTATTTATCACATTATTTACCCATTTTACAAATAAAAGTCAAATTTTAAATATTCACTCTTACACACTTTGGGGGCCCCCTTGGCCCGGGGGCCCCGTATAATTGATACGGCATATACGGCGGTAGCTACGCCCCTGTATAGTAGTCAGATTTTCCTGAAACTAATTTCTCGATAGTCATATAGCTGCCATATGAACAATATTCGAAAATATGGAAAATTAATAAAAAATCGTCATAGCTTCGATGTTGTTTAGCCTTTATATATTTTGTTCGACATACATAAATTCGAAAATCAAGAGTCTAAACTATATTTGAAAAAAATATTCTTTTCTGATGAAAACAACGATTTTATCATATTTATACCCTTGCAGAGCAAAAGGGTATTATAATTTCAGTCAGAAGTTTGCAACGCAGTGAAGGAGACACCTCAGACCCCATAAAGTGTATACATATATGTATTCTTGATCACCATCACGAGTAGAATCAGAATACGTCTGTACGTCTGTCCGTCTGTCTATTTCTCTTCAAACTAGTCTCTCAGTTTTAAAACTATCTTGCTAAAACTTTCCCAAAAGTTGTGTAGTTATTGCACGCAGTATATAAGTCGGAACGGATCGGCCGACTATATCGGATTGCTCCCATACGAGAGAATGAAATAAAAAATTCTCAAGCCGTTGTTTTTGATCATATCAACTTGATTTCTTCAGGATGGCGTTTTCGAACTGTTATTAAATTTCGGATTAAATTTTATCAAAATCGTTTAACTCTATCATATAGCTGTCATAGAGAGATCGAAAAATTTATACAGAACTAATGGAAATAAAGTGATAACATCGTTGTTTATTGTCCCACGAGCATGATTTTTTGAATATCAAGTTTTTCAACAACTCTTATATAACTTATATAACTCTTTCATAAAAATCGGACAACTATATCTTATAGCTGCCATAGGAAAGATCGAAAAATCTATATTTAGAATTAAATTTAAAAAGAATCGGACGACCATATCATATAGCTGTCATATAAACAATCGTCGAAAGTATAGAAAATTCATAGAAAACCCTCTAAGTATTTTGTGTGATATAATTGATAACTGTAAGAGTATTTAAGCTTCGGCTTGCCAAAGCTAGCTTTCTTTCTTGTTTTATATAGATTTCGAAATATGATGTCATTCGAATAGAATGAAATTTAATTCAAGAGAGAATGAAATAAAGTTATAATATAGGAAAGGTACAAATAATAAAGGCTTGGTATAAACTGGCTCTTCTTTTACGTTAGTTTTTAACTATTTTTATTTTCAGTGCCAAATACTAGATGAGAAGCTCAATGACTCCCAGTTGTTTATGGAGTTTGAACGTATACCGAAGCGTCGGGAGAACGCGTTATATGAATGTGCTCTTCTTGATGAGAACGAGCCAAAGAATCACGATCCAAACTTTTTGCCGTATGATGACAATAGAGTGCGACTGACTCCTTCAATGGACAATCGTCACGGCTACGCTAATGCCTCGTACATATCTGTGCGTATGAGCGCTAAATTATATAACATTTAATTAATAACATTTTTTGTATTTTAAGGCCACTGTGGGCACTAAGCAGAGGTTTTACATTGTGGCTCAATCCCCACGAGAGTCGCTTACCATGCGAATCTTTTGGCAGTGTGTATGGGAGGCAGATGTTTACCTGGTTGTTCAGCTAACCGAGGATATGAGCTATATTCCTCTCAGCAGTCAGCAGCGTCTGGAGTTTGGACAGGTTTGTGAATTCTGTTAGTTTGCAAAATGATCTTAGTCGGTCCTTCTTATTTCCAGTTCCAAGTATATCAGGAATTCTCACAAACCAGCGACCGTTGCACCACTATTAAGTTGCGCCTTTACCACGTACCATCACGTCGGTACCGTTCCGTTTGGTATCTGCAGTATGCAGACTGGGCAGAGCAGAATTGTCCCCGCGACGTTAATCACTTTCTTGATTTTCTCGAAGAGTTGAACTCAGTAAGACTGGCATCCACACAGGAAGTTCCGCCGGGACACAACACAAACCCACCGGTCCTTATACACTGCCTGGAGGGAGGGGGACGCTCTGGAGTAACCTTGACAGCTGATCTTCTGCTTTATACCCTGGACCACAACGAGGTGAGCGGTCAAGGGCTGAATTACTTTTAACTACTTCAACTTAAAACTTTTTTTTTTTAATTTTTAGGATCTAGATATACCTCGTGTAATTGGCCAACTACGACATCAACGGGACAGCATTATACCATCCCTAGCGCAATACAAGTTTATATACAATCTGCTCATTACCTATTTAAAACGAACTAGGTTGATTTAGGGTTGAATTTTAACAAATGGAAAACTTGGCTAAAAGTATTTTAATCATCTAAGATAAAATTCCTCAAAAGCGAACAATTTTATTGTAACTCAGTTAAAATATTACTTTTATCGGCAGCTTTTAACCCCCAAAATCTTCAACATTTTGTAGTAACATGTTTATAAGCTTTAGATTTGCTACATGAACTAAACCCATAACGATGGCTACTGCATAAACATATGTGTATATATACAGATAGCGTCTTGTTTTTGATTAGCCTGATAGTTTGCCAGTTAACTTATCACAGCCGCTAAAGTTTAAAGGCGATTCGTTAAATTGTGGTTTTACTGTGTATTTTTTAAAAGTACGAAATAAAAATAAAAAATCTACACGAGTTAACTGGATAATCTTTTAGAACAGCGCCCAACATTTAAATGACCGGATGCGTGTTCAGCTATCGAAAGGATTAAACTTGCATCATTTAGTTTTCTAAAAAATGAAGTTAAATTTATGTAACGCAGCTCAATTATATAATTTAATTTTGTAAAAAACGAAGTTAAAATCGTGTAACACAGTTTAGGAAACTCCTAACTAAAAATAACAGACTCTTTTAGGCAGGGGCGCACAGAAGTAGTCTGGGGCTCGGGGCAAAATTCAATTTTGGGAGATTGTCAATCCTTACATATCATCATATATATCATATATCGTATCGCGCGGGGCCCCCATAAACGTGGGGCCCGGGGCAAATTGCCCCCTTCGGCTTTACATGGAGCACATGTCGAGCACCGGCCATTTGAAGCCAAAACTTTAAACGCGTTTATCTCGTAACCACCTTTTCGGACCTGACGGAAGTAATTGAAGGCGTTGGGGTTAACCAATCGTCATCAAATTTTTTTTTTAATGTTCCTAATTGTTTCCTTTAACTAATGAACTAGGATTATCTAAAAATATTGAGAACTGTTTAATTGAGAAAATAATTAGTGAGAAAAAGAGCGCGAAAATCGAAATTTTTTTCAAAAGCTAATAACTTTTGCAATTTTCATTTTTTTTTCTGATTCTAGTTAATTTTCTGCACAGTACTGTACACTTTAAGAATCTTTTTGGTTCTTGTGTTTCCGATTACTCGTTTTGGCTGAATCACTTCCGTAAGCGGGACACCTTTTTGCCGAAAAGTTGCAACTGAGGAACGCCCCCTCCCGCCCCTTTTTTGATTTTTCAATTTTGAAATTTTTTTCGCAAAATAAATATGTTTTCAAATAAAGTTAAAAATGTCAGCTTTTTATCTTTAACCGTTTTCTCAAAACAATTTTTTTTTAAAGTGCCATTTTTCGGCCCTACAAGGTGAGAACCTGCCTTAAAAAAGGTTTTACGGTCTGCATCTTCTTCTTTCGGGTATATGACATAAAATTCTTTAACTCTAGGGTTAGCGAAAGTATTATCAAACAAGACAGGAATCTCGATTCAGATCGTATTATAATACCCTTTGCTCTGCAAGGGTATGCAAACGTTATGACAATGGGGCGGGATCAATCTTCGAAAGTGGCAACTGTATATGGCCGCGTAATTTGAAATCGGCTATAACGGGCCGATTTGAAAAATAACAAATGAGTTGTGCATGCTTAAGCCTTTTATACACGTTACTCGTAGAGTAAAAGGGTATACTGCGTTTATTAAAAAGTATGAAACAGGTCGAAATAAGCACTTGCAACCCCAAAAGAAATGTGCATATATGTTCTTGATCAGGATGTACTGAGGAGCTACGGCAACCCAAATGTATTACTATGTATTTTGTTCGACATATTTGATGACTGCAAGGTGAGCCGAAGCTAGTTTCCCTTGTTTATAATGCCTCTTGTAATATTGCAATATCCTATAGCTGCCATCGGAAATATGGAATAATCTTCCTAAGTAATTTAACTGGGCATAAGCGGCTTTGTATATAATTTTACATGGTTTTTTTTTATGATCACGAATTAAAAATCGTTGAAACCATAGGGATCATCGAGAAATAAAAGAAATTTCATAAGAAATCAAGAATGGAAGCGAGCTTCGGCAAGCCGAAAACTTGCTTGTCTGATGAAAAACATCGATGTTATAATTTTTTTTCGATTATTCCGATATAGTCGGCCGATCCGGCCCGTTTTGACTTATATACTGCGCAAAGGGTATTATAATTTCAGTCAGAAGTTTGCAACGCAGTGAAGGAGACACCTCAGACCCAGACTCAGATCGTGATCAACATCACGATCTAAATCGAAATACGTCTGTGCGTCTGTCCTCCTGTCGGTTTCTACGCAAACAAGTCTCTCAGTTTTAAAGCTATCTTGCTGAAACGTTCCCAAAAGGTGTGTAGTTATTGTACGCAGTATATATCGACCGACTATATCGGATGGCTCCAATAGAGGAGAATGAAATAAAAAATTCTCAGGCAGCTGTTTTTGATCAGATCGACTTGATTTCTTCCATATGGCGTTTTCTAACCACTATTGAATTTCGGATTAAATTTTATCAAACCCGGATAACTCTATCATATAGCTGCCAAAGGAAAGATATATATAAATAATGGAACAACTATAATATCGTTGTTTTTAATCCCATTAGCATGATTTTCAAAGTATGGATTTTTTTAATAACCCTTGAATCGAGAAAAAAATTTCATTAAAATCCGACAACGTTATCATATATGTAGCTGCCATAGAAAAGATCGTAAAACCTATATAGAAATAACGGAAATAAAATGATAACATCGTTGTTTTTCATCAGACAAGCATGATTTTTGTAATATAGAGTTCTCTAATGACTCTTGAGTTTCAAATTAAATTGTATCAAAATCGGACGACTATATTATATAGCCGTCATTTGAACAATAGTCGAAAATATTGAAAATTAATAGAAAAATCGTCATAGCTTCGATGCTGTTAAGCCTTATGTATTTAGTTGGACATATTTGATGACTGCAAGGGTATAGCTTCCTTTCTTGTTGGAATATAAAGTTTCCTAACGACTCTTGAATTACGAATTAAATTTCATGAAAATCGGATGACTATATCCTATAGCTGTCATATAACAATCGTCGAAAATGTAGAAAGTGTATAGAAAAATCCATATATTTTGTTTGACATATTTGATGACTGCTTCGGCTTGCCAAAGCGAGCTTCTTTCTTCTTTTTTTGTTTTATTTTGTGGTACGTTAATAAACAAAGACGGGTCTCCGAAGCGAAGCAGGGAAACACCAAGTTGATTCCGCAAACTTGTAACGATTGTCCCTGGAATTTATTTATGGTCATCAAATTTTCTTCAGCTTTGCCACAAAAAAATATTGCCGGTACGCAGTGAAAAGAAGCTCTGTTCGAATTACAGCAGCACTGCGTCTGCAGATTCGGCCGATTTCATTAGGTCGTGCTTGCTTGCTATTGTTGTGTTTGATGTGCACGAACTCGTTGCATTTAAAGCCTATCTACATACCTTATCGCGTATAAGGCAATTCTAACATAGTAGGGGAGGGTGGTGCGATACCGACCCCCTAAATGGCAAAGGCGATAAAGGTGAGAAAAATCAATTTTTCAGTTCAGTTCAAAAATTTACTATGTAGAGGGATCAGTTTACTATACATCTAATTGATTAGTAAGTGCGTAGGTGCTTTGAAGCGTTAGATATTCAGGCAAATATAAAACTCTACTTTTTGGTCGTACTCAAAAGTAGTGGTCCGAAACCGACCCCCTATTTCTTAACAGAAAAATTTAATAACATACACTGACGAGCAAAACTGTAACACGATTTTATTGTTTCAACTTCAAAAGTCTGTAACTTTTTTTCTAATGCACGGATTTTGAAGATCTTATTCTGGTTTTGTAGGTTATATCATTTACTACTATTAAGTAAAATTCAAAGCCATTTGATATCAGTTAAAGAAAATGACGCGCGAAACTGTAAAAAAAGTCAAATGTTACAGTTTTGCACCGCACGGTGGCGGTTCCATCATGGTTTGGGGGATCATTAATTTAAATGGAGTTGGTTCCTTGTTATTAATCGATGGAATATTGCGAAAGGAGCAATATCTATCCATTTTACAAGAAAATCTTCCAAAGAAATTTTGGAAAGTTGGGTCTTTCTGCCGAAAAATGCGTTTTTCAGCAAGACAACGACCCCAAGCACACGTCCATATTGGTAAAAAATTGGATTTCAAAACAGAAATTTTAATCTATGAAGTGGCGACCACAATCTCCCGACATGAATCCAACAGAAAACTTGTGGAGTCATGTGAAATCGCAGTTGGAGAAATATGCAGTTCCTCCAAGTGGAATGAAGGAGTTGTGAGAGCGGCAACAGGGTGTATGGAATGATATTCCCCCGGAAATGATACGACGGTATACCCAAAATATGCCCAGACGCATAAAAGAGCTAAAAAAGTCCAAGGAGATGTGAACTCACTATTAAAAAAACATTAATAAAAATATTTCTTAAAAAAATAACCAGAGTGCAAAACTGTAACATTTGACTTTTTTTACAGTTTGGCGCGTCATTTTCTTTAACTGATATCAAATTGCTTTGAATTTTACTTAATAGTAGTAAATGATATAACCTACAAAACCAGAATAAGATCTTCAAAATCCGTGCATTAGAAAAAAAGTTACAGACCTTTGAAGTTGAAACAATGAAATCGTGTTACAGTTTTGCTCGTCAGTGTAAAATAAAATTTAATGATTTTGACGTTTATAAAGAAATATATTGAAGGTTCTTTCCAGTAGTCAATTGATGAAGTCTGAGTTGTCCCCTTTCTCATAGTAAGTTTTCGCGTTGTTTTTCGAAAGCCGCTCGTTGATGACTGTCTCTTCGCTTTCTTCTTATGTGTTTTGATGTTTCTGTTACTTTTCTTTACTGAATCTTGTTTACTTTTTCATATTTTCCCTCAAAAATACGCTATGACATATTAAGCTGCCAATAAATGGGGGTCGGTTTCGGACCATCACTTCGCGGTCGGTTTCGGACCACCACAACCTTTTCTAATTAACTGCTCGCCATTATCTAATGACGCAAAGAGCGATGTAATTCTAATAGCGTGAATGACAGCTAGGACTATCAACTATCAGAAAACCTTACCCTCCGATTTTTATGCGGAGAAAAAAAAACTTTAAAAATATTTAAGCTCAAGTTCAGTAAAGAAAAAAAACTGAATGTCAGAGGCGTTGAAACAAAACAAACGGAAAAATTGCAGTGAAACAAAAGAAGTCAAATTGGCTATCTATCTCCAAAATGTCTGTGTTATAACAGCTTTTCACTGAAGTTACCGACAATTCGGCTAGCATCGCCATCTCTGAGAAACATGGGGGGTCGGTATGGTACGACCGGTCGGTATGGGACCACTCTCCCCTAATAATAATTTTTTATTAATAATTATAAGTGCGGTTAGCACATAATAGCTCTTTGGATATGTTTAGGTCGGCTTCGTAAATCAAAGTGAGAAAATTCCTCGCTCACTCATTGGACACCAAATGCAAAACTACCTTGTTCATAGAAAACTTTTTTTAGTGAAAAGGAAAGGGGCTGTTTTTCTGCATTTTCCGGCAATCAACGAAGGTCCATTTCTTGCATCTTAGCTACTTCCCCCAACTTCTAACCAAAACAGGTGTTCTTGAGTTATAAATAGCGTAATTAACACGACTATATTTTATATAAATAGATAAATAAAATGTTTTTTCTTTTCCAGAGCTCGGTAGTTTATATTCATCGAATCAATAGTAGTCACCATCCCCCAAAAAAGATTACAGTTGCTGTGATGAAATAAAAACCCAAAATAGTTTTATTTATAATTTTAAAAAATTTTGAAGATCAACCTTTTTAGCTGCACATATATAAATTTAAATAGGAAAAATAATTAAGCAGAATATTTTTTATTTATACAGTACAAATAAAGTTTCGCTTTCAATATATTTATTCATTTACTTAAATAGCGAATTTGTTTGCTAGTCTAACCTTAATATACAAAGAGCACAAGGTATACATATTTAACATATTGTTTGATTTGAATTGTTTCTTGGGTTCAGCAAAAGATACATAAGTTGGTGCTCGCTTTGTAGTTTAAGCGAGAAAAAATCTTTTCTTATGTACGTTTGTATATATAGAGATTTCATGTATATATATATGTATATGTAGAATGTATATATATATATATATATATATATTGTATATATCTGTGTATGTAACAGACATTCATTTACACACAAAAATTGTTGTATTGGAGTTGTTTACGTTTGAGAAAAAAACCATCAAAAATGATTTTAATTTTTTCTTGAATGTCTCAGGTTTGTCTTTTATAAACTTAAATTGTACTTTTATGATTTTCTTGCTTGTGGGCTTATCTAGGCATTGTAAATGTGGTTTACCCAAATATTGAATTTGTTTGCCTTTCTCCTGTCTTTGTTCCGTTAGTTTCATAATTAAGAATGATTAGAAATTAAATTTTCTAAATAAATTTTTGTCTCTCTCTCTTTTGGGCTTAAAAACTAAATATTTGGAATTGGAGCGAAGGTTTTTTAATGTATAAAGCGTATAAAGGAGTATGCATGTGGTAACTTTAATTTTGACATATGTAAGTGTTAAAATAAGTATACATTTATGGAATAAACGAGAGCTTTGAGTTATTTTATTTTGTGTTTCTATTTAAATCGTCCCGTTGTTGTGCTGGGCATGAAATTTTTACTGATCTTACTTTTGTAAATGCCGACGGAGTCTTTAAAAGCGTGTTATTTAGGTCTGCTTTAGGGGTCTGCCTGCAGACGTTTTCTTTTAAGAAAAAATGCAACTTCTACGCTGACGGTAAATGTGAGGACTGAAAATGTGTACAAAGAATTTCGCTAAATTAAATATAAACCGTAGACAACGTAATAAAAGTTAAATGTAAGTTGCTTAATATAATTATATACGCTAAACGGTAGATGCTTCTTGGATGAAAGGCATTGGTTATTGGATTTGTCCTGTTTGATCGCTGGCAAAAATAAAACCACAACCATTAAACAATTTTGGCAGCTCTATATGCTGAAAATAAATATGTATATAAGGTAGCGTAAAATTAGACGCTTAACCAAAATTATTTAATTCGTTACAGAACCATAACTTTACAAGCTCATTAAAGGCGTTATTAGTCTTTTTGAAAATATAATTAAGGTAAAATATAGTTAAGGTAATTATGCGAGATTTTATACATTGAACTAAAACAGAGCCAACAATAATAAATTGCTTTTTGCGACGTGAACAGTGTTCTTAAACATTTTCGGGGATTTAGAAGGCGAAAATAATATTTTAATATTTCAAACTTGTTTCAGTTAATGGTTCTGAAGCAGCTTGAAACAGCCATTATACTCACAACTAATTAATAAACATGTACAAGTTAAAACAGCACAATTTGAGTAATTATTGATTCATGGGTGGCATGGGGCATACGGTACACTTAGTGCTATCCATAAAATTTGGCGGACCACCTGTTGAATAAAAGAAAAGAAGATTAATGAGTTACACACTTGTTATGTTTTTTTAAGGAAATCATGCTGAATAAATACTCCTAATCTCGGTAGCACCTATTTCGGAAAGACCTGACTCGACTCCCGCTTTGCATTTGTTCGGTGCTGAATCCCGATCTGGACCTGGAACTGGTTGCAGGAAGTCTGCTCAGTTCAGCTTACCGTGCATGTGGTTGAGGAGCCTCCTGCCAGTATTGCCTTGGTGGTAGCTGTAGAGATTGGCTAGGGGCGGTACATTGTACGGCGGTGGAGGCGGCGGTGGCATGGCCGAAGATTGCTGTTGTTGCTGAATCTGTGGAGGTGTGGGTGTGCTGGGTGGCGTGTTTGTGCTCTGACAGGGACTGTTTAGATTGCGGGTCACTGCGTTGTTCGATATTTGCTGCAGTAAGCGACAGTCGGCCGCCGTATAGACCGGGGGCGACAGCTCGTGGTACTGCAAGTAGTGATGTTGCTGTTGATGCACGTAGCCGCTGTCGCAGGACGATATGGAACCTGTTGGGTGTGAAAGTAGCGTAAAGAATTTGTCTTAAGTGGCGGCCATGAAACAGTTTCCTCCTTTCAGGACTTATTTCATACCACCACGTGGTGCTAGTGTGAGTGTTGTGTAGCAGAGTGTATGCGTGTAGAAAGCCGACGACCACCAACCCCATTCCAACCACCAAAAACTATGTTTTCAAATGCAAGCAGGGAACAGAGTCTAAAGCGCAACTAACAAAATGTATCTAATTGGTGACTAAGTTAAGGATTAAATTATTTTTGGGACTTTATGGCCAAGTACACTCAGAACTGAGCGTTTGCACCAATTTGGATTACTTCTTAAATCATAAATTAATTTATGTTATTGTTTTATTTTCGATTTAATATTGGTTTTAAATATAGTTTGCATAGTTTGAGCATACTTATCGTCTAGTTTTAGTATAAGCCAATAGTAATTTTTAGTCGGTTCAAATCTACGGTCTTAATGCCAGTTACTTACCGGAAGTTACGGATTTGCGCAATGGTAAATCGCGAAACGTAGTTACACTACTGCTCTCAAGGGAAAGATCTACCGAGGGTAATGGCGGTGGCGGTGCGGGAGTGTCCGAGTGCGATCGCTCGTGTATGGCGCGAGTGGGCAGTACATTGCCTGCGAATGTTGTAATAAAAAGATTAGAAAAGCAAACCTTCGGACAGAGCACCGGCTCTGTTTCAACCACCTACCTCCTGATGCCAGGCGTCGATGAGAGCAGGGACTAGGACTCGGCGTGCACTGGACATTGGCCACGGCAGCTGTTGCAGGCGATGTGGCTACTCCAGCCGATGGTGTGCTAAAATTATGCGCTCCATTCATGTGATGTAGCGGCGGAATCGCGGACTGAGGAAGAGCGGATCCGTGTCGCGGCACGAACGGCTGGTGGGGCCGGATCTTGGAGGACTCTGACAGCGATAGCATCTTCTTGACTGACTGCGGCGAAGCTGTGCCAAACTTGGGACCATTGTTGTGCATTTGTCGCCGCTGATAATCGCTTGTTGAACTCGTCGAACTAGTTGTGGAAAGGGTGGGCGAACTAGGGTGCCTCTTGCGCAACGAGAGGGAAGAGTTCGGTGCTGAGCTGGAGCTCGTATGCGAGTAAATGCTAAGTTGATCGCCGGCATTGGGGCAGGAACTGCCACCCCCGCCACCGCCGGAACTTCCACCACCACCTCCACTTCGATGAGAAGTGTTGCCGTGCGAGATGCTTCCTGAGTAGGTGGATCCGTGAGCCGGCTCGCATTCCAATGAGAATTTGTGCAAGAGGTCTTCGTCACTGAGTATTTTTAGGCTGTTGAGGTACGCCTTTACTCGGCGTACCATCTGCGCCTCCTCAAACATCTTCTTCGGATTGGGCGCTGCTGCTGATTTTTTGCGCCGCTTGATAGTTGCTTGGCCCGCATTGGCCGCGATTACCGTTCCTGCGGCAGCATTGCTTTGCGAGGCCGACATTTGATTTAGCGAAAAAAGGGCGTTGGAGGGAGACTGTCCTTTAAGCTCAAGGATTGACAGCAAATCGTAGGGGGAACTGCACATGTGCGTTAGTAGGCGTACCTCCTTGGCCAGCATCCGCAGCTTTTCAAAATTTATCAGGCCGTCCACTCTCGTATCATTGCCCAGGTGGATAAAGGTGAGATCCTTCTTGACGATCGGGTAGAACGGGATGATGGGATGCTGAGCCAGAAGTTCGGCGGACACTAGTTGCCGATACTTGCTCATATTGCGCGAAGGGTCCATTAGGTCCTGAAGGTCGTTGAACAACCTTTGGTACTTGGAAGGCAGTTTTTCCCACGTTTGACGCAGCCGGGAGACAGCTCCGTGTCCCAGGCCGGAGACGATTGCAAACATCGAGTTAAAGTTGCGGCACTCCTTGCAGTGGCGCGCAATTTTAATGAACTGTTTGACTATTTTCATGCGGCGCACAATGTTGTGCTCTGCGCAAATCTCACTCACCACCCAAAACATTTCGCGATTGACCAGCTCAGCGAATTTGCTGAGCATGGGCACTCCATAACGAGAGTGCAACTCGAACAGTTCATCCACATACTCGGTGGACTCAATTTGACGGAAGTTGGCAAAGTCCTGCAGAGTGAGTTGAATGGCCAGCTCGTATGCGTTTAGCTGCAAGAAGTGCACACTCGACTCGCGGACAAGTTCCAAAGCCAGTTCGTCTGGAACCAGCGGCTCAGTGCTATCGTTCAACTTGAGATAATAGCGAGCCGCAAAGCTAATTCTCTCCGCCAGGTTTTGCAGTTGATCGGGAAGTCGGCGTTGCTTTACCATCCCGCCGTCGCCTACACTTACTTCGCAGAGGGAAAAATTTGAGCTAGGGTCGTGTATTCCAAACTCCTGCAACGTCAACATCACCACCTCGTGGGCCGTCGTTTCCTTGTAGATGAGCACATACTTGCACGTTTGATCGGCTTTATACACCTTTAGCACGTGGTCCGGGTAGTCGGGCAGAAGGTGGGTTGAGTTGGTGGTCAGGGTACTTGCCGCCGATGGACGGTGGGTCTGGGCACCCAAATAGTTAATCTGCAGCCTGTCACCGTCACTGCCTCCAGCTTCACTGCCTCCTTCATAGTTGATGCTCGTTAAATCAGGATTCGATTGCGACTGGTAGAGTCGGCCACTTGCACTAGTTGCTGAGCCGTTTGTGGAAGACTGGGCAGAGCTGCTACCCGTGCCCACCGTAGACAGCTTTGACTTGGGCTCGTTGAGCAGGGCGTCCGAGGAATCGTTTAGGCTGCTACCGTGATGCTGTTTATTGAGCAAGTTCATCTTTGCCAGAGCCTTTTGTAATCGTCGCTTGGGAGCTAGAGTCATAAAACCACCTTTCGTATCCTGCTGATCTGAATTAGAGTTAGATCCAGATCCCGACCCCTTTTTGGCCGAGCTGTTGTTAACGCTTTGAAGGAGCTGCTGCATGAAATTCGAGGCCATGTTGCCAGTTCCAGTCACAGGCGGGGTTTGTGGCGGAGCGCAGTCCGGCTGGTCAAGAAGCATATCTACGGAACTGAGGCGTACCAAGTGCGCTGGATTTGTGGCGCTGATTGGTGACAGTTCATCGGTGGTGCTTTCTGAGCGACCGTGCAACTTGGCAATGTCATTTGCACAAATCCTGCGTGGGCTTCGCAAGCACTTGAAACTACCACTACCCCCTGAAATACTTCCGGAACCAACAGATCCACCGCCATTCTCAAGAGCCTGCATGATCTCCTTGAAACCGAGCAGATTGCTTTTCACACTTATGCTCAGGTGGGTGGTGCCCGTGAGGATCTCGAGGGCTCGCTTGCTTGTCACATGATCCAGCGAGTGTCCGTTTACCTCGTGAATCTGGTCGCCGCGCTTAAGCCCAGCATCCTGGGCCTTTGAACCAGGTTCAACGTGAGAAATGTATATTCCCACGGCTGCGTTTCCGGTGGCTACGGCTACTCCCCGAAGCTCGTAGCCGCCCACAATACGAAAATTGAGCGGTTCGTCACGAGAAGATCGGGTGAGGGTACAGCTACGCATTCGCGCTTTCGCCGCACAAGCTATGTGCAGAAGACGCAGTTGGCTTAGCAACTTTTTTCGCTCGAGCAGTGCTTCAAACACTTCTAGAAACTCCATCATTTCATGGTCCGCTTCAAAGTCGGTAAAATGGTTGTTCACCCACAGAAGCACGACGCGTGTGACGCGATCCCGCAGTTCCTGCGTCTTGTGCGAGTCCACCTGCTCCAGATCAAACCAATGCAGCAATTTGCAGGTCACTTCTTGTGGGTTTTGTATAAAGATGCGATGTGTAAGCAAAAAGTCCTCCACGTATGTGGGGTCCGTCATTGAGTTTTCTTCAACTAGCTGCTGAAGCAAACGCTCCGGAGTGCCACGGATAACGACGTGACCGCGTTTCAGGTTAAGTGAAGCCGCCGCTCCAGTTGCCGATCCGCCAGCAGAGTCTGTGCCTCCTCCTCCTATCGATCGCAACTCCGTGACCATGACCACAAACCCATTCTCGTCCTCATGCCGCCGTGTGTTCTCCTCACCTTGATGCTGGATACGGTAGTAGTCCGTCTGCGTAATGCACACAAACTGGCAGTCATCGCACTTGGTCCGCATTACACCTCGATGGTAAAGCTTGTCCATTGTGGGAAGAATGCCGAACGAGTCTCCCATCTGCAGTTCTTCGCGACTTCCGTTCGCATGCTCGATCTCCACGGACCCGTTTATGAGCACTGACCATGAGTCGAGCTCTTCACCGTCTGACATGACCACGGTACCGGCCTTGTCCACCACGGCAAACACCATAACGGAGCAGAGGGCTCGTCGCACTGCCAGTGTGATGTTTGTAAAAGCCTTTAGGCCCTGGGTGAACTCAAGCAACACTTCCACGTCCTCCTCACTCCGCTCCGCCGGATCCTTTTCCAGACAATCGCGTACTGCATCGCGCACAGTAAGACTCTAAATAAACGGGAAAAATGGAAATATTGTAATTTTTGTAAACATCTTAAAACACCGTTAGAAACGAATGTCATCGTATATCTTATATCTAGATCTCGAATAGTTATGCACGAAAAAAAGCCAAAATATGCATGCAAATATGCACGAAAAATAGCAAAATATGCTCAAGAATATGCATTCAAAAATACAATAAAATATGAAAGAATCATGCAAAAAATAGTCATAATATTTTGGAAAAGGCGGTTCTTTATTTAAAAGCTAAAGTTTTGCAACGCAGTTAAGGAGACACCTCAGACCCCATAAAGTATATATATTCTTGATCAGTATCACGAACAGAATCAAAATACGTCTGTTCGTCTGTCCTCCGGTCGGTTTCTATGTAAACTAGTCTCTCAGTTTTAAAGCTATCTCGCTGAAACTTTCCCAAAAGGTGTGTAGTTATTGCACGATGCATATAAGTCGGAACGGGTCGGATCGGCCGACTATATCGGATAGCTCCCATTCGAGGGAATGGAATAAAAAATTCTCAAGCCGTTGTTTTTGATCAGATCGACTTGATTTCTTTAAGATGGCGTTTTCGAACTGTTATTAAATTTCGGATTAAATTTGATTAAAATCGGATAACTCTATCATATAGCTGCCATAAGAAAGATCAAAAAATATATATAGAATTAATGGAAATAAATTGATAACATCGTTGTTTTTTATCCCACGAGCATGATTTTTTGAATATCAAGTTTTTTAACAGCTCTTATATTGAGAAAAAGTTTCATAAAAATCGGACAACTATATCTTATAGCTGCCATGGGAAAGATCGAAAAATCTATATATCGGAAATAAAATTATAACATCGTTGTTTTTCATCAGACAAGTATGATTTTTGGAATATAGAGTTTTCTTACGACTCTTGAATTACGAATTAAATTTGATAAAAATCGGAAAACTATATCATATAGCTCCCATATGAACTATAGTCGAAAATATGGAAAATGAATAGAAAAATCGTCTTAGCTTCGATGTTGTTTAGCCTTTATGCATTTTGATGACTGCAAGGGTATATGAGCTTCGGCTTTCCGAAGCTAGTTTCCTTTCTTGTTTTTAATTCTTTTTGCAGTTGATATTATTTTTGTTTTAGGAAACTTTTAGCATCCAAAAATTGTTTGCAAGACAAGGGAAAAAGTTTAAAAAGTATTGTATCATTCAAACGGCATTTAAATTACTTTTCCATTGATACCAAAAGTTAAACGAAGCAAGTTCAAGTTTCGAGTATATTTCACTTTTATTTTGTGAAAATACTTTTGACCACCCTTGTATATATATATCGGATTATATTATCGTTCAGACATACAGCTATAATTCCTTACTTTTATATATATAATTTGATCGAACATCAGCAAGGGATCTCAAGATCTTGGATATATACTACTTACATCCATGCTTTCCGCTAAGTCCTCCTCGTCGGAGTCCACGACGGACTCCACCAGGCCAGACAGATCGATCTCCTCGGCCTCCAGCGACGAGGCGTAGTTCGAGGCCATTGTATCGCTGCCACTGTACGCTGAACTGGTATCACTGGAGTGCGAGCCTCGGTTGCATTTTTGGTGCAGCTCCGGTCGGTTGATTGCCAACGAGCTGCCCACCACCGATCCTGTGCTGGCTATGCTTGTAGGTGGATACTGTGGGGGAAAGGTCTTATTGATTTACAGTACAACAAACAAATCTGAGCGCACTCACATGATGTCTGATATGGTGATACGGATCCATGGGGCGCAACTTTCGCTATGGATGCTGCCTATAACAGCATGCCAACTTTACGCCGTCATATGTGATATGTGAAAATTTTCGATCTCAGATTTACCTGGAAAGTAAACGAAAATCTGAAATAGTCTCCAAATTGGTAACATTCTGCTTGGTTTGGGACTCATTAAGCAAAGAGTCAATTGTAGCAGAAATTTAAAACAGTTTTAAAGTGAAAAACTGTAATATAAAATATTGTAAACATTTCTATTGCAAAAAGAAAGAGATCAATTACATTTGTATACCCTTTCAGAGGGTACTTCAGTAAAATGTTTGCAACGCAGTAAAAGACACTTCAGAACTCGTAAAGAATATATATTCCTTATCAGCATCCCGATCTGAATCGAATTAGACCTGCACGCCTGTCTGTTATTTTATAACACGATTTATAATAATTTATTGAGTATCAAAATTTTAACTTAATTTAATCATGACAATTAATCAGGACAAATGTATCAGATAGGTGCCGTATTGAAGATCGACAAATCCATGTTAAATTTATGGAACAAAAACTGATGTTTTTTTATACAATAATGACTTTTTTCTATACATATAAAGTTTTTTGTATTTTATATGGGGGGTATATGAAAAAAAACAACATTTTTTTGATCAGCATCATCACAAAAAGCTTATGCTGTAACCATTGTAGTTATAATAGCAAAATAAATTATAATCTTTATAAAGTCTCTCAAAATGTTGACCAATTCACAATTTTATTCTCTAAAATCTTAGTACCTATGTAAATGCAAAGGTTCGAAATCTCTCGATAAAACAAAGCAAAATTGCTGTGAGATTTTGTTGGTCAATTCTTATTCGGTGTTTGTTTGGCAGCGCAGGTAGCTTTTGTTGTCCGTACTAGCACACTTTCATTTTTCGCCACAACAAACACAATGCTGCCAATAAATTAAGTTAAACAAAAACAAGCGGACACACAAGCGTGTGGGACCCAAAGCTGGTCCTGTACATGAGAGCGACCGATTTGTGGTGTGGGTGCTCGAGTTACGCTGCGTGTATGCGTGAGGGGGCGAGCGACACAGAAAAATAATAACAAAAACGAAACAAAAATTGTAGGCGACGACTTCCGCTCGCTGGATAAGCCATTTACATTAATAAGAGCGTTGCAAAATCAGCGTTGTAAATAAAAAACACTTTGCACCGCTCACACATACTCAAACGAACACCAGCATCTCACACAGACATCGAATATGGGCGTGTTTGTACAGTTGAATGATTTTGTGGGCCTATAGCCCTTGGGAAGTGCAATTGTTGATTATACGCACTTTTTATAGCTGTCACAATGCCTTTTTTGCGTACACCTTTGCATAAAGAGATTCAGGCAGCGTTTGTGTGTATTGGTATTGTACTGCGCATTGTTGGAATTTCTTTCACTCACACACAAATCCTGCCTAGAAAAAGATGACGCTTTCTTTTATAATCCGCTTTTAGCAATGTGTCTTTGGTTTTCTAATATCATTTTGCATTTCAACTATAAATATTTTAATAGACGGTGCTTTTTTAATTAAGAAAAAATTAAGTAGATGAAAACTAAAACTCCGACGCGTCTTACAGTGTGACCACAAACAACTTACAGCAAAATCGCAGGCTGCTTGATTTGGTATTATTCGGTATTAGTGTATACCTTTTCACCCTCGAAACCTAGCGAGTACACCTTCCTATCATAGCGAAGACATTAGCTTATTTTAGCACGTTCACCAGCCACAGCTTGCCGCGAAATTAGATATGTTATAAAAATCACGTTTTACGTTAATTCTGAAATGTTTCTATTGCAGCTTTACGATATATGATCTTAACGAAAACACTTCTTAATTTCTGAAATTAAATAACAACTGTGCATGTACGTTAATCAACAAGGAAGGTTAAACAATTTTTTTATAAATGTTCTGATATATTTTTTTTATTATTTAAAAATATATATACTGTCCAATGTACATAACCTAGGCAATTTAATTATTTAGACGTTCGATTTGAACAGATTTTTTTTTTTTAATTATTGTTTGATTTTAAGCTACATTAGAAATACAGTTTTTTTTATAGGAATTTGTAACCTATGTTTTGTACAAAAACTAGTGCTTAAAACCGCCCAGGGGCCCAAGGGCTATAATTTTTTTTTTCAGCAAAATGAGTAATTTTATTTTATTGAGCTTAATTAAATGTGATTGTTCAACTTTTAAAGAGTGTTAGAAAAACAATTATTAAAAAATATTTAGAAATAAGCCTGTGGCGGTTTATCTTCCGAAGCGCCAAAAAAAAAAAAAAAAGTGTTTTTTTTTTTGTTTATTTAAAATGCGGGATTCCAAACTCGAATACCCCCTTGAGCGCGCCGTTAAATATGCTGAAGGGAGCGCTATGGTTTAAGCCTGTATGTCGGCAGTCGGCGAGAGAAGTTTGGAATTCGGAAACGAATAACTGTTTTGTGTGTGGTGAGTTGTGGATTCTGTCTTACGGGTGTACAGGGTCCGCCTCTCGCTAGTCTGCCTCGGGAATGTTGTTTGGACATATTCGCAGACTAGCACATATTATTTTTTGTAAGACCAGAATTGGGAGTGCAGATAAAATTACACAGCGGGAAAAAAACATATGGAAAATGTGCTAATTTTCAGACGTTTCTTCATTCAAGCGGAAGGGCAAAAACCTCCTTCACCGCTTACATTTATTCCATCTCTCCTTTCAAAATACGCGGGGGTGACACACAAAAGTAAGGTTCCACTGGTCCACTGGTTTTTGCCCCGCATTCAACAGCCAATGATCCACAAAGAAACCTCCTTCACCCCTTACTTTTGTGTGTCAACCCATGTTTTTGAATTAGATTTTTAGTTTTAATTAAAAAATAAATTTGATTTGTTTTAAAAACCTTTTACGAGGACAGCAACCATAAATAAACAAACAAAAAAATTATTTTGTTCCTTTTGCTTAGTGCGTCTTCCGGGTATAACGAAGAAAAATCGTCGGTGCCTTGAAAGTCGCTATAACCGGATTCTACTATATTATTATAAATCTGTTTTTCAGGTGGGTAATTACCTACCTTCAAAATTTTTAAGTGGATAGTACTACCTATAGCCGGCCCTGCTTCAATTTTCTTACACGTAACCCACTTGTTTTGTTTACTGACAACGGACGCACTGCTTACACGTGGGATGAATAAGAACAATTGAATACTTCTTGATTTGCGAAAACCAGTAGTGCATTTACTGCAAACACGAAGACGACCTAGAATTGAAGACATTTACTTTTGGACATTGGAACAACTCTTGTTTGCGAGTTATTTTCAAGATGTTTGAAAACAAGCAGTGCGTAGACATTTTCCTTTTGACATTAAAACACTTCTTAATTTGCGAGTTTTGGTTTTATTAATTTTAATTTTTTAATTAATTATTTTTAATAATTAATTTTTTTAATTTTTAATTTTAGATTCTAACATTCTTAGAGAATTGGGCAGCAACGGGGAACTTTGAAAGGGGAAAGGTTCCATCTGTCCACCGCATTTCTAATCCAGTTGTTTTAGCTAGAATTTATGTAATTAGCTATCTCGTTAAAGCCAACCTTAACTCATTTCTTAAAGTATACTTTTAGGGGGAATTAAACAATCCAGTCATTACAGGAGCCGTCAAAAAAATTTGTCGAAAGAATAATCAAAAAACAAGAAAGGAAGCTTATATACCCTTGCAGACATTAAAGAGTATAACTAAATACATAAAGGCTAAACAACAACAAAGCTATGACGATTTTTCTATTCATTTTCCATATTTTCGACTATTGTCGACTCTTTTGAGTAAATCTGGATCGTTGACGTCAGTGAACAGCAAAAAATCGTTGAGCATGCAAAACACTAATAACCTTCACGTCTCTTAAAACCAAACAAAAAATGCCATTCCCTATGAAATTTCGAACAGATGTTTGTAAAGAATGTACCAGCATAACGAAACCAAAAGATTGATAATCGAAAATACGTTGGCCGTGCAATTTGAAACGTCTCTTGACTTTTTGAACACACCCCTTATATGTATGTACACTACCTCCACTGAGAGACTAGTTTGCATAGTAATAGACTGACAGACAGCCAAGATCTACTAAGATAATCTAGATTCTAGCACAAATATTCTTGTTGGGGTCTTACGTGTTTAACGCCACCTAGTAGCCATTGGAAGAATAGTCTGTGGCAGCAAAGCGCCATCTAGGGTTAGTGTCCGAGAGCAGATAACAAGCATCTGCTCTCGGCCACTAACCCTAGATGGCGCTTTGCTGCCAGTGGAGATAGTTTAACAGCCATGACATAAGTTTGATCTTTTTTTTTTAAATTTATTTTTGTAAGGTCGGACGCAGACACCATATTGGACTTAGTGAACTAAAACGATTATAAATCATTTACCTTATATATTCTTGACTTTACGGCCCAAAACTCCGATAACTTAAGAACAAACCAAAGAGTAGAGAGCCGGCTTTCTAAATACAACTATATTTGAAACCCAGTCCCCTGTGTAGCTTAAAATGTTTTTTTATGGTTTCTTTGACGAACAAAAATGAGTCCACTGCAAATATCCGTGCTAGGTCGCTACTATTGGTTTACACGAAGGGGTTTTTGGGCTGAATTAGTCTTAGACTGCTATTCAAGCCCTGACTTTATTAACTTTTCTTGCTTTTTATTCACAACTGTAAATACATTTTTTATACACATTTAAGCAATTCTGTTTTTTGTTTTTTCTTCTTCATTAAGCTTACTGCAGTAAAAATTAAATTTTTAGTTCCTTACATTTCACATGATTGTACCTTACGATTCTTTTCTCATGTTTCTACGTTGGGCGTATTTTTTAGATTTTCCGGTAGCCGGTTTTTACTTAATTAATGGATTCAAGATTATAATTCCAAAAATCATGTTTTTAAATAAAAAAACGACTTGAATTTAATTCAAACTTATTAGAATTGGAGGGTTATAATTTAAAGCTGTCATCGGATCGATAGAAGAATTCAAAGGAAATTAAAAGGAAAATCGCATTGAGCCCAAAATAACAAAAAACTGCCAAACACCAAAATAGAATATTCATTAAAAATTCACATAATTTGAAAATAACTTTATAGTGCACCGAATTGATAAATTTAAAGTAATTGGACTCACAATAAAAAGCCTAGTTTCCATACATTTTTAATGAGTCAAGTAGTTTTATAGACTTAAGTTATATTTGCAAGGGTATATAAGCGTCGGCTTAGCCAAAGCTAGCTTTCTTTTTGTTCTTAGTAACGTTCTTAAAGTCGAATTAATACCTAAATTGACATTGACCATGATGGTATTGGTGTAAATATTGTTAGTTACGAAGAAACCTTTTCCTAGAGAATTCCTAGAAGAAAAACCAAAAATTTTAGTATGCATTCAGACTCATAAAACAAAACGAAAAAACATGGATACAGCACAGCACTGCTTAAGTTAAGTAAATTTTTATTTGATATGCGATTAATTGACTTTTCTATAGGGTATATTTAAAAATAAATGCCTATTTTAGCCTAAGATTGTGACTCGAAGAAATTCGACTTGCAGAAATACAAAGCATTTTTGTCACAATTGTTTTTGTCTTTCTTTGCTTTAGTAGTTATTGTCAAATCATATAAAGGCTTTAAATTGTTTGTGTCTTAATTTCGTAGCGAAAGAGATTCATTTAGAATAGGGGGTCAGCATCGGCAGGTGGAGATTTTAACATGTTTATAAATATAGATTTAATTCGATTTGTCCTTTTAAATATGTAAAGCAGAAATGATTCGATAGATAGCGTTCAGGTGGTGGAGCAATAGGTACACATATGTCAATATGTTCTCATTTGTTGATACCACTAAATATTCTATTTAATAGAATGCTCAGTATCATTTACACTTTAACTCCTCTTTAGTATTTAAGATATATTGATTGATTATTTTCTTAAAATTAAGTATTATACATTTCTTCAATACCTGCATCGTTTTGGACACACAGATTAAGTACAAACATTTTAATTTGTCAAATTCAGGGTTTACGAACAAAGAGTTTTTTAAACCTCTCCAACAACTTAAAATGTTTTTCATTACAAAGAGTTTTGCTAAAAGTTATGAGTTGTCTTTATTAACCTAATAGTAATACGAAAAATGAAGGTAAGAGTATGTTTTTATAGATCGGACTGTTCAATACATATGTGTCTGAGTCACTGGCTTAAAACCTAAATTCTTCCGCTGCAGATACAAATGAATCTCTCGGAAATTGGGTCGACTCGACTCGTCGCGCTGCCAGCACTCGCACATGAGATCGTAAATTTCCCGCGGACAGTTGAGAGGCATTGGCAAAAGCTCCTGGAAGAAGAAGTTAGAAGGGGTCATAAGTGCAGGATCAAATTGGGCGTATTTGTGTCTCAACTTACGTGCATTTTATAGTCGCGGTAGATGTGCTCAATGTTTTTGATAACACTTTGGTTTGTCATATGTTCGTATGGTTGTTCCCTGGCGAAAGTTAATATTTCCCAAAGCGCCACAGCAAAAGACCACACATCCGATTTTGTTGTAAACTTTCCCTGTAAATAAGTTTGGTATATAATATATTTTTAAACAAACAACGACGGGTACCAAGAAAGGAAGATAACTTTGACGATACGAAGTTTATAAAATAACTGGACTCATTACAAATCTATAGTGAAGGATGTTTGATACCGTCTTTATTACAATCTTACAAATCTTTACTTGGCCAATTTGTCAGTCCTTACTTGTTGGGTCGGTTGAACTTTGTTCCTTTAGTTTATAATCGCTACGTCTCATATTTTTCGCGTTTTAATTTTTATAGATTTTCTTTCTTACATTGCGCCCAAATACGTACGATGCACCATATCCATGCACGACTGAGATATGGAGCCTGAATTGGCACCACCTACCTCGGATACAGTGCCGCGATTTGCATGTAGGGCATTGCCGCAGGTGGCTGCATTGTCTTGGTCCGCTAAGGTTCCTGGTCTAAGTTGGCGCATTGGCTTAGGTTCCTGCATTGGGTAAGGCTTGGCTAACGGACTTAGAGGGGCATCGCGGCGTAATAGTTGTAGAAGTAAGTGGGCGTGGCACAAAATTAAGCAAACTTGCGTACGAACAACGAGTATCAACATACATAACATATGTAATCTCAATGTTCTAGCTCTTGAAGATTCCGAGATCTAGACGGACATACGGATGTTCATATGGACGGACAAACAGATATAAATCAACTAACCTGATGACCCTGATCAAATATGTAAATGCTTATTTCAACTGCCATATGAAAGGTCAAAAAATCTATACAAAACGTTAGAACAAAAAATACCGAAAATCATGTTTTTATGATAAGCAAGAAATGAAGCTAGCTTCGTCTTGCCTTGCAGCTAAATGATATAGTTATCCGATTTTTATAAATTTTTTTTCGATTTAAGGGTTATTCAAAAACTTGATTTTCCAAAAATCACGCTTGTATGATAAAAAACAACGATGTTATTATTTTTATTATAAATGCCGCTAGCGAGACCAAACCGCCCACTGTGAGATGGACAGACGTATTTTGATTCTGATCGTGATGCTGATCAAGAATAAATACACTTAATGGGGTCTAAGGTGTCTTCTTCACTGCGTTGCAAGCTTCTGACTGAAATTGTAATACCTTCTGAAAGGGTAAACAAATAACTACGCTATAGATTTTTTGTTTTAGGTATTTTAAAGAAGCTAGCTTCCATTTTTGTTTATCAACAAAAATATTCGAGAAAACCAAATGTCTCCCTTTGGTGCTTAGTTATCGGTTGCTAAGTTGCAAACATGTTCTGTTTTAACATTCTTAGTTTTTTGTTAAAAGCACTATTATTTTATTGAGAGTGATATTCAAGTAATGAATGTAATATGTTCTCAGAAATTTTTATCTGATAGTTAGGAATTTGACTAAAGCTTCTACTTTCTTTTCTATTAGCGTGCCATTTTATAAAATGCATACTCTTAAGTGTAGCACGATAGAAATATTAACATCTTTTAAAATTGTTTGCTATTTTCTAAGTTCTTGTTTAACCCAACTCTTTAGCACGTACAAATTTTTAAGTACATATGTTTATTTGACCAAATCGGTGCCCGACGAATGGAATGCAATCTTACCAATATCACACTCTCCCAAGCCATCCAACGAATGGGCATGGGTTGCGATGGTCTTTCGGTCGAGCCTTCAAGCTGGAAATAGTCCGAGGTATAGGCCGATCGATTTATTACCGTTCCGATTGTACAGACTTTAACGCTGAGTTCTGGCCCAATAATGCAGCTTCTGAAAGAGAACAAAGAGCAAAACCCAGCTTTAGCGGACATTGAAAACGTAAAATCAAAAAGGAAGCTAGCTTTTGCTAGCCAAATCTTATTTACATTTATTCTTTATCTACATTTTGGGCAATTACAAATCTATAGTAGCAAGATGTTCTTCAGCTGCTAGTCCTATCTTACCTTTACATAAATAACTTTTTGTAATATCTATTATCGTAGCAAATTAGATAAATATATAGGGCTTTCGTTTACTCGTAAACTTTGCCATTTCCTTTTTTGCAAAAGAGATTTGATAAACATCGTTTAGCTTTTCAGACACGATTATCGAGATTCTAGGGCTCAAGGTGGTACGGATCGGACATGTATCCGTGCTCTCAAGTGACTGGGTACCGGATGCCGGATGCATAATTGTCCAATTTCATCCTCAGTAGCTGGATCCCGTGTGTCAAGCTAAATGGGGAGGAAAACTTGGAGAATCCAGGCTTTGTCAACTTTACGTGGGAGGACGTGGGAGTCTTTGACGATATTTCTAAAGAAGCGATGCAAACATTGGAACTGTGGACTGTGCCATGGCATACAACTAACCAGAGTCTATTTTTAAGTCTTAAGATAGAGCATCAATTTAAGAAATGCCACTCCAGGCACCCTGTCTTATTTTGGGAACTCTGCAACACCTCGGGCGCCAACAAAGCTGCAACACGCTGATCATGTTCTCTCATCTTGGTCAAATCAAAACACTGAAATCTCTACTACTCGATTCGGTCTGCACGCAGTATATAAGTCGGAACGGGCCGGATCGACCGACTATATCGGATAGCTACCACACGAGAGAATGAAATATAAAATTCTCACGCCGTTGTTTTAGATCAGATCGACTTGATTTCTTCCAGATGGCGTTTTCTAACTACTAATGAATTTCGGATTAAATATTATAAAACCGGATACATCTATTATATAGCTGCCATAGGAAAGGCAAAAAAGGTATATATATAAATAATGGAAAAAGAATTATAACGTCTTTAAAATCGAAATACTATATCATATAGCTCCCATAGAAAGATCGAAAAATCTATATAGAAATAACGGAAATAAAATGATACCATCGTTGTTTTTCATCCGCCAATCATGATTTTGGAATATAGAGTTTTCAAATGAGTCTTGGAATTTCAAATTAAATTACATCAAAATCGGACAACTATATCATATAGCAGTCATATGAACAATAGTAATATGGAAAATTAATAGAAAAATCGTCATAGCTTCGATGTTGTTTATCATTTATTTATTTTGTTTGACATATTTGATGACTGCAAGGGTATATAAGCTTCGGCTTGCCGAAACTAGCTTCCTTTCTTGTTCTTTCGCTGTTTTTCATGACATGAAAACCCCTACAAGCCGCAACATTCCATGGCGCAGATTTGATGGCACAGCCAATTGGTTTGATAATTTATATTTAGGTAATAGGCACGACAAGTGACACCTGTAGTTTTAATGCACACAATTTGTTAGTGTAATGTTTTGAGGGCACTTAAAAAAAATATATAAAAATATAATAATATAATAAAACACATATATAAAAAAATATAATCGTGGAACAAAATTAAACAACGTTGGGATACCCTTGCAGAGTGTATTATAATTTCAGTCAGAAGTTTTTAACGCAGTAAAGAAGACACCATAGACCCAATCAAGTAAATATATAATACTATAATATATTCTTGATCATGCTGATCGAAAACATCTAGTTCGATTCAGATCGTGATGCTGGTCAAGAACTGCGTTGCAAACTTTTGACTTTATTTATATTACTCTCAGTTATAACTCATTTCAAACAAGTCCTCATAAAGTACGAATAGTTTCCTTGTGTAATATGATATGTATCTCAGTTGGGAGTTAAGTTTCCCTCATGAAGGGGGTCTGACACGTGCCAATGTCACCGTCAATGGAATTCTAAGCAGAGTGATGGAAATCCTAGTCTATTTAACTACTTATTACAGCAACAACTCCCAATTCAAGCAGGTCCTCCCCTCAAGCATGCTTATTGAAAACTAAACCTATCACTCAAGTCGCCCTCCCTAAATTAAATATCAAAATCTATAGTTCACCGAAATCGGAAACGGTTGTCTTGTCGAGGGGTGCATCTTTCCCTTCAATATTCATTTTCCGGCCCTTTCCATGCTGTTTGCTTTCGGGCTTAACGCATTACATTTCAAGACAACCACTTCGCCCATAGTTCTCCGAGATTACACTTCCATTGTTATTTGACGGGAACTCATATCCTTTTCAATATCGGAGGATAGGAAATTGTACATGTCATATCAGAACGCTATGTGAAATTTCCGCAAACTTCAGGTCAAGAGATTCCTGAAATGTGGCAACAAACTGTACTGTTTTTCATAGTTAATTAGTTAGTCAAAGAGTAATTGCCGACAACTATATTAATGCAAAAACAAAAAAAGATTTTTTTCCCAAAAAAATGTTTATATAGAACTAAATACGAACTCTTTACTTTGCAAATAATCATTTTACATACAATTGCTTTTTGCATACAAGTACATATGTTATTTTTAAAGGTGTAATCTACCGAAATATGAAAAATTGATTCTTTTCAATTTCACACTAGTTGTGCCCCATAAGGAGTTGTCAAAGAGGTCTTGAAAAATGTCCATGATTTCACGGGGGTGTCCCTCCCTCCAGGGATTAGGGCGCTATTATTATTGGCGAAGCTTAGCGAATGATGCAACACATTTAATGGTGAAGCTCGTGGCAAATGACTAGGTCGCCAAATGGGACACTATGCCCTCCAATGGGGGCCTCATAAGAGTCCCACACAGCCTTCCAGAAGCTATATATAGATTTTCTTGGACCCAGAAACGATTGTGACCCGCAATGGGTCGCAGTTCAAATCAAAAGTGTTTCAGAAATTGCTCGGAAAACACAGACATTCTCATACGGTTACAGTGTAGCGGGTTAATCCATAATTGCTCCGTTAATATTTGTTCGGAGCAGACCGCCGGCACCTAATCTGGTGCGCAGTCAACAACTGCTCCAGCGGCAAGAAAGGAAGGCTCGGCCGAATATTCACGTTGCGAAGGTATCTCTGCATTTGGTGGGACCAGTTCGGTGTTATTTATTATGAGCTGTTGAAACCGAGCGAAACCATTACTGCATGAAAACGCTCGGCCTCACGTTGCCAAACCTGTTTAAACCTACTGGGGAACGCTCAAATGGCAAGCCCTACCCCACCTGCCGTATCCCCATAAATTGGCCTGGCTGATCAGCAGTTCAACTCATATGAAGACATCAGAAAATGGCTTGACTCGTAGATATCGAAAAAACAGCGAGAACTAAGTTGCGCACCTAATAATTAATTCACTTCGCAACCAAGTTTTATTACTATTCATCTAGTAAATAGTTAATAGTTCGCTTTTAAAATTCAAATAACGAAAAAAAGTGCAAAATCTGCCTGAACAAAATTTTTCGCATACTTGCTTCTAATTTTGAAGCATTGACACAATTTGATCGATCTGGCCAGATTTTTCTTCAAAAGCACCGTTATTATTATATTATCCTCTAAATGGCATGAGCAAACATTTAAAAGAAAATAGCGTCGAAGTAAATTCTTTTTAACCATTTGACGACAAAATGAGCGGAAAACAAAACGAAACTACCGAATCGGAGCGAAAAATTATTTTGTAGCGTTTTGAGGGCGCTTCGTCCTTGAAAAGTGCTAAGCCCACAGGACGTCCCAAGGCTTTAAGCGGTCGGGAGCGGGCTAACATACATATTAAAAAAAGTGAAAGTGAACCCAAAAATTTCATCAACAAAGATAGCACCTGAGGCGAAAGAGCAGTTTGGGAAAGATGTTCACCCATAACAAAAGTAAAAAAAAAATAAGCGATTGGATTATGCAACGACGGTCGCCGAACTGTAAGGAGAAAGCCTAATACTGAACTCCGAAAAGAAAACCTTGCAATGACAGTAAAGCATAGTGGTGAAGGTGTCATGGTGTGGGGCTGCATGTCCGCTGCTGGGGTTGGCGAGTTGGAATTTATTGAAGGAATCATGGACAAGAAATATTAGGTAATACTTCGGAATTTTGACTCCAGCTATATTTAAGGCCCAAAAAAACTTGCGCACCAAATCAAGGGTTTTTTCATAAGATAATAACCCCCTTAGGAAGACTGAAGGTTTTTTACCTTGGAAAATGGAAATTTTCTCGAAAATCAGCCGAAAACTCTTACAAGCATTTCTGCGCTAGGGGAGATTTTAGTTTCCGGGGCGCCAAGATTTGAGGACATATTTTGGGTAATTGTCCCAAAATAAACACTTTTTAATAAATACAATTTTTCGATTTCTCGCACCGTTTACGAGATATCGAGCCTTAAATTTCCGATAATAGTCAGGGCTGGTAGCGGGCGAAAATACTTATTCCACATATTTTTCGTGGAACTTTCAATATTTGCGGTACTTTTGGCCGAAGACAGACACTTAAATTTATTTTTTTCAGTGTTTAGCTAAGTGCGCGCGCACTTATGCATTGATACACATGCTTTATTTTTTAAGGTAACTGTTATAAAAAAAAATTCCGCCAATTTTCAGTTTTTAGCTTAGTTTTTATACTCTTGCAGAGCAAAAGGGTATTATAATTTCAGTCAGAAGTTTGCAACGCAGTGAAGGAGACACCTCAGACCCCATAAAGTACATATATATATTCTTATTCAGCATCACGAGTAGAATCCGAATACGTCTGTACGTCTGTCCGTCTGTCTGTTTCCGCGCAAACTAGTCTTTCAGTTTAAAGCTATCTTGATGAAACTTTCCCAAAAGGTGTGTAGTTATTGCACGCAGTATATAAGTCGGAACGGGCCGGATCGGCCGACTATATCGGATAGCTCCCATACGAGGGAATGAAATGAAAAATTCTCACGCCGTTGTTTTTGATCAGTGTTTAGCTAATAAGCTTTTTTATTAGCTGTGGAAATTAAAGAATTAACAAAATTTTGA